AGGTACATTCATTATTGTGGATTGTGGTTTCCCCATGACTAATGCAAAAATCAACTGGTTGTTTCAACCCAAGTCTTCAGCTAAGAGCACTTTTACAACTCATCCCCCTTGTACTTGCATTTTATCTGGTTTTTACTACTCAAAATGCTGATTCCKACCTTGTTCATTCATGGAAATAGTGTGTAAAGTCAACCCAAGGCCAGCTAATAAGCTGTCATTCTCATTTGATCCCAGCTTYTCATCTCTTTCTGGTTTGCTAGCTCTTTCACCCAGCTCACAGTTTTTGAATTAATTTTCAGCTTCTGTAGTTCATCTAATAATTTCCATTGAGCATGGAATCAAACACTTAATTAAATTCCAAATAAACCAGGTGTATCCCATTTATTACATTTCTTCTTAGCCAGACTAAGTAAATTTCTTTTCTTTTTCCGTGCTGTTGTCTGTCGGTGATTTGGAATACTTGGAGAACTTTTTTTCAACCTAGCCAAGCAGTTTTCCCAAAAGAGACAAACATTCCATGCAAATTTTTCTTCTGAATTAGCAATTACAGAGCTAGAATTGCACTAGAAAACAGAGAATATATAAAGTGTTAGAAGCCATCTCAGCCCCAGTGAAGAACTTCTTTTTTTCAATAGACTTTTTTCTTTTTTACACTGTATAGTTAAATTGTCTATCTTGTTAAGAACTGTTTTTCTCTACATCTAGGGATTTCATTTGATTTATGAAATCCTGCTAAAATTTCATAAATCTCTCCCCTTTCAGTTAATGTTATTGTGAAAGACACTGGAATTTTTTTATATAAAGGAAATACAAAAATTACCATAWTGACCTGTGAAGTCTCTCAGTGAAGATGTCAACATTTTGAAGGCATGGACTTGAGTCATCCAAGAGAGCTATTTTGTTTCATTGTCATCATTTCCTTAGGCCTCTAAATTTGGTTCAAAATTGACTTTTTCTCCTTATTATGTTAGTAACTGTAACAAAACAGAAATTAATCTGTTACCTAACACCTAGCTTTGGAGAGTTCACAATTCATTTGAGATACATCTAAATACCCCGAATACATTTTTACCTTATGTAACATATTCCCAAGCATTTTCTTCTTGTTATTAGATCTTTAATTGAGGAACTTAAAAGTTTGCAATACACAATCACGTTTAAACTTTGTATTTCAGGATGYTGTTGAAAGTTAAAGGAAACAACACTCAGCTTATTCAACCATGGGAGTGTTTCCATTTTTCCTTTGATGTCCTGATTTTCTTGTCTGAATTCCTGAGAACGTAATTGTACACATATTGTTGTTTCTGCATGCTGATGACAACCTTCAACAGCTGTAAAARCCATGCAAGAGCTTCCAGCAGGTAGGTTCCCATATTCAAATTCATTGTTAAGAAAYAAGTTGAGAACTTCCCTTCAGTTTCACCCAGCAGAACCATCCCTTTTCTGCATAGCCAGCGATAAKGAGCAGCACAACACACCCTGGGCACACATCAGTAGTAACAGGCCTAGCCCTTCCTGCTGTGGATAATGTAAAGCCAAACCCCCTGTCTGGCCAGCTGGAGCCTTCCAGAGTTAATTTTCAATCTGTTCAATAGAATTGGCAACTGAGATCCTGGCATATGAAAAAAACCTAAAACACCAATACGCTCAAAGACCCAGGCCCTCCTTCAASTTTTATGCAGAATATTCATATTTGAATTTTGAATATATCAACACTTTTTAAGAGAAGGGAAAAATAATGTCCAATTTTTGCATGTTTTTGTAACTCTGGCCTTCTGCACATGCTGGGAGTCATTTATGGATCATGCATGGACCATGAGTCTATATGCAATTTTTGTTAGTCTTTACCCTTTCAGAGTGTGTTGGATAATATATATTTCTTTCCTAATCAAGGCTGCTAATTGAACTTGAGCAAAAAWCACTGCAGTACAATGTGTTGTGAGTTTGTGTCAATTTGAATCAAAACACTGTAATATTTACATAACAGTAATGAGCCTCTGATACTATTTGCCTAATTGTAGATGGGATATGCAGATGAGGCATGTTCAGGAGATCAGGTGTGGCCTAATGAAGTGCAAACCACAAAATACATCTGAAAAAGATTTTTTAGTGATGTAGCAATGAAGAATGGGAGAGGGTTTTACTGCTAAGAGAGAAACCAGCACTTTGTAAGAAGGCGATATTTTCCGTCTTCAAGAACTTCAATGAAGAGCTCAAGTGCAGGCACAGAAGACAGAGTGCATGCCTTTAAGTCACTTGGAAATTATCAGATAAGACTCTGGTTTCCCATTTGTTTCAGATATATTTTTTCTTTCTGATGGAACATTTATCAATAACTAACTTAAGAATTTTAAGTCTCTCCACTCCTCATATAAGACTCAAACAGCACCACCAACTCACAAGTCATATTTCCCATTGATTTTCAGGTTTGGGGAGGGAAGTAGTACTCTGTTTTCCCTTTTAAGCATATTTTCTTCTGATATTCAATATTATTTTGAGCACAGTGAGTGGGTTTTGTCATGTTAATATTTCAGGCTTTCGTTTGGGCTGTTTAGGACTAATGCTGCAAATAGATGCCAGCAGAGAAACTGCCTTCAGCATGAAGAGCAGTGTTGGCTTAACCATGGATTGGCCTCCAAAGACTCTCAAAAACAATTTACAGCCATTTGGTTTTAAATTAAAAGAAAGCAACAGAATTGATTTAAAAACTGAATGTGAAGTTGTCAGTACAATGTTTTGGAGTTAAATAAACTTCTCTTTAAAGCTACAACAAGTACAAATGGTTTTTTTTTTTTTTTTTTTTTTTTTTTTTTTTTTTTTTTTTTTTTTTTTTTTTTTTTTTTTTTTTTTTTTTTTTTTTTTACTGAATATTTACATTCCACATCAGTTTCCTGTAACACAATAGCTCACGACAGAATAGAGCCCAATCTCCATTTCACAGACACATTTCCATATTCCTAGATGTCAATGACCTTGGAATTCAATAAGAAATGGGGTGACAGAAATTCGGTGAAGCTAACAAGTGGTTGAAGGAGTTTTATTAAATGTAGAACATTATATTTTAAAAGCAAGAAAGCAGATGGCACTGAAGGCAGCTGTGATGTAACCAGACACAATTGCCATTCCGTGGGGATGCTGTCTCTACTTTCAGCTAAGCTGCATTTGCAAAACAAAGTTACTATTGTGGCAATGRAGCTCTCACGCTGCGATGAGTTTGCACAAAGGCAGGCAGCAAGCCTGCATTTATTTGATGTCATCGGGAGAAGCATAAAAGAACAAGTGAGCACAGAGCAGGTGGCAGCTCCTCCTGCCTGGTTGCCCCAGCAAGGGAAGCAAACTCAGGCCCTGCTGCATTCCTGTGCAGGAGACTTTGGAGCACAGACTTGGAAATGTATTCTGCTGCTTTAGCCATTGTACTTTACAGCATTCCCATGAGAAACATGCTMGATTCCAGTGGGCACTCTTCCCTGCAGGTATGGCTGCACAAGCTCCCATCCCAAACCTGATCCCTGTTCCCACAAGCATAGCCCATCTTGCTGGCACTGCTCAAATGACCATGGGCACAGAGGAGAAGCTCAGAAACAGTGTTTTCTCTGTTGGTAGAAGAGGTCACACTGTAGCAGATAGCCTGCAGGCAGCACTCCAGTGCACCCTGGGCTCCTGGTGCTCCTAGGGCTGCCTTGCTGCTCCTTTCTCCCCCGAGCTAATTGCAGCAGGTGTAGCTGGCCATGGTATTGCCCAGATCCTGCTGATGGCGGCTGGTACTTCCTACTACCTCTCTCAGATGTGGGAATAGATGCCAGCACCTGCTGAATAAAACAGGTTGTCCCAAGAGTTCCTTGAGTGGCACTGCCAAGCCATCAGGCAGCTGGTGCTCCTTGGGATGTGGCTTGGCCTGCAGCTATCTATGTGCAGGTGCTGACTACTGCACTCTCCACACCCAAATCTCAACGTCCTGAATATTCCTTCCATGTGAATACTYAAGCCAAAGAAAAGGCTCTTTGCCCATCTGGGTGTGAGGCTACATTCACAAGAACATAAAAAATTGTCAAAAGGCTGCAGGAATCTCTGTCTTGATCTGAATCTCCAGCTTGACCTGATGGACACAAGTTCAAACTCTGAMAATTTTTAATGAGATCAAGTTTGAATAAAAAGTCCCAAATGTAAATACTGTGTTAATTGTCTATAATGCTATCAAGAGGTGCTTGGATACCAAGAAATTATCCAAGGAACTTGAGTGCAGGTGGAAGAGAAGCCCAAAAGCCAAGACACCAAATTCGAGTTGTGAGCATGTGCAAAATCACAGCTCCTCTGTGTCCTGCAGGTTCCTCTTGCAGGTGAAACACACGCCCTGCTCCAGTCTCCACARGACATCCAAAAAGGTGGGAAATGCTTTTGAGCAGACCCTCATCTGATGAAGATCCCAGCTCCGCCCAGTTCTACTGCAGGAGAATTTCCCTGTCAAGTCTCTTTGGATCAAGCTGGGATCTTTCATTGAGGGAAAAGCCTGCCCTCCTAGTGCTCAGACAGGACACCAAGGCAAAACCCTTTCTCTGCAGGCAGGATAAACTTGGCAAATGAGATAAACTTTAGATGGAGCTAAACCAAGATGATTGTCTGGCAGTAGTTTTACTCAATCTTGAAGTAATTTTAGTTGGCAGCTCAATTATATAGCCTGATATTAAAATTCTTCTCAAGTGTATTTTATCTGCTTCTGMAGCATGCAAAGAAGCATAATAGCATCTTACTTAATTTTTTCAGAGTAATAGGTGAAAAAATTGCACAACATCACATTTCAAAATCRTAGTCAAAATCTTTTTTGCTTTTATTGTATTTAATGCTTAAWATCTGGTAAAATACAATAAATCATCTTCCAGTCTAGGACAATTAGATGTTATGCTTGATAATAAAAATGTTCAGAGAGGATGTAAAAATAAATTAATATCTTACTATTTAACTTCAGTGACAAAGCAGGTCTCCGTTTTAGACAAATAAGAAATTTGCAGCCATGAAAGATAAATGAACAWATCCTGCCCTTTCATAAACACTTGGCTGTCATTGAAACAAACAGAAAATACACACACACATACACATATATGTATGTGTATATGTGCCAGCCTTAGAGGGCAGAATTTGGCCTAGATCTTACAAAATGGTGGTTTGCAATTGACATTCATGTGTGTTTAATTTTTTAACAAATAAAACAGCAGAATGTTGATGTATCTTACATTTTCCAAATCCTGTTACTGCAACTTACATGAAACATTAGCATATAAAAAGTCATCACTGTACAACYACTTTTTTCCCCAAAAGTCAGTGTCAGAACAATAAAAACTAGCTAATTCATTAAAGCTAGATTTATTGTTAATGTGCTGACGTTTGCATTAGCTGTCTTCTGTTTTAAGCACGAGGAATCTATTAAAACATAARAGGCAAAAGAGGCTCAGAAAATGACCAACTCTCCAACAACATACTTGTAGCTTTACTAACACTTATCAGATGCTATGGTTAGTTTAATACCAACGTAAACACAACGAGGTACCAGATACCAATGGACATTTCTCACAACTGTGCAAACTGTGGGCCTCATCCTGCAAACACCACTGGCTCCAGAGCTTCCTCCCAGGGCTGCTCCAGCTGCAATTCCCTGCAGCAGCTGCTACTGTGGCCATTTGCAGGAAGGGGTCCTGTGACCCTCATGTCATGCACCAAATACATGTAAAGTGCCTCAGATTTCAAACTGATGTAAACTTACATTTCATTTATTTAGACTCAAAAAGATGAAATAGCCCCTGTAAAGTCTTATATAAATATTCCCTTAAAATTGTTAGAGGTCTTCTATTTCAAGATAAATCTAATAAAATACTTGAACTGCTTTTAAATTAGGCAAAGAGCGTTTGTGCTGTTTTTTGTAAAAAAGCAACAATATTCCTTTGCTGTGAGATATTTTATACACCTCCAGTCACTCTTCCCTTTATTTCACAGAGAGTAAGAGGCAGAGCTATTATAATTTTGTTGATATAATTGCCTGTGGAGTTTTGAAACAGCCCAATGGATTTTTTGTGATGACACTGAATCTTACATTCATTCCTTTTCACAAGTCTTTTCCCCCAGATTGTTTTATTCTGCTTCTTCAGTCTTTTCAGAACCAGCTCCAGCTGAATTATCTGCCTCATACTTTTTCTCAAGAGCATCTTCAAAGGATTTCCCAGTGCAGTCATAGGTTTTACTTGTAGGTCCCATATGTGTTCGKATGCGAGCTCCTGGCTGGTATAACTGCATGGCTGGACGATCCTAGAAGGAAGGAGATGTGGTTAACACTCTGAGAAACCCATGTGGGATACATGTGGGATTTTAAAGTTTTGAATCTATATGAAGAAAGTAGATTTTGTGTTAAATTACTTCAAATTACATTTCATAAGAACCAGGGAAAAAAAATGGAGTGTAATGAAAATTGACTGGGTATTCAATATCTAGTATTCAATATATGTTGTTTATAACACTATTCTTGGGAGCCAACATTTTGAATAAATGAAGAATGCTGTAAAAATTAAAGATCCTATGATACATTTGACATAAACAAGGAGAAATGCTGCAGACAATTATCAAACATAGTATTATGAATAGAACAAAAAAAAATGTTGCTACCTTCACTAACATCAGCTGAGAAGAACAATAGCCTGTGCACTTGCAACTCTGCAGATGAATAACAAATATTACACATAAGTATAAAAATCCAAGACAAACCAGAGAACAGCTTAGCAAGCAGCAGCTAGAAAATTATCCTCAACTGATCMTCAATCATTACATGAATTTAAACATGAGATGCACATTTGAATTATACACATCAAAATAAAATTGCAGTTACTGCTCCATTTCATCTTGCCTTCCATACTGAGTATGAGARGAGGGGAATTTATGCACTGACAATAAACAAAGTAAGTACAATTTGAGCATGTGCAGGCTCTGCGAGCGACCCAATCATACACACGCTGCTCTGATCAYGAGAAAATGGAAGAAGGAGCCCATTTGCAAGGAAAAGACATCTCAAAGCTGCAAAGGGTGATGCTCTGTAGCTCTTGAGAGCTCCCTCTATTCTTGAAATTTCAATCAACACTGATAAGAAACTCTGCCTAAGAAGACTTTTCCTAACATTTTACTCTCACACAATATTTTGAAGCAACTGAAAGCTCACCAAAACCTAAGCTTTTTGGTCAAAGYCTTTTGTTTAGTTTAGCAAACAATTAGCAGCCTACTTTAAGACAGTGGCAGAGGACTGAAATTGTTCTACATCAAATTATACTAATTCTCATAATTTTAAGTAATTCTGGACTTCTGTTCTTTCATTCTTTTTTATTGTTCCCAATATGCATTTCCCCTTTTCCTTCACCTTTTTGATCTACTTGTCTTTTTTTGATCCACTTTTTTTCTTTTTCTCTTTAGACCAGATGTCAAGATTTACTACTGAGCCTCATGACTAGATCATTCTAGTCAGTGCATTTCTAGTTAGTGCTTTGCAGTGTGGTATGAAATGTGTAACACACCTTTCTATATCCCAAACAGCTACATAAAAGTAGAACCCCTGACAAGCAGTGCCCATTAGAAAGTTTATGATAAAGGGTCCTAAAAACTTTTCCTACCACAGCCTCTGTACCCTACAGTTTGCATGAAGGCTAACATAGCACCACTTACACTGGAAATTCCCCATTTTCTAATGAATTCTTACAAACTTCAGAAAGAGGATCTATCTCTTACTAAAAATTTGTGTTGACATTGTCAATTCTATACCTATGCTGTAAAACTCATTCCCTAATCTCCCCTATGCGACAAATACTCTAAGGAAAAAGTCATCACACTGCAAAATGCCTTACTGATGGTTCTTATTTTTTTAGGGAACAAATCTAGCATTTCAGTTCCAAGTGTGGACCAATCCAGAGACTCAGCCAGCTACCAGAAGTTTAACACAAAYAAAAATTTGCCAAATTTTTTAACACAAATAAAATTTTGCCAGTTGCCAAAAGGCCCCTAAAACCTGCCATCCATTTCCAAGGTTGGAGATTAATTTGACGGATTCCAAGAAGAGCATGGTAAGCATGAGGAAAATTATTTTTCCCATTTTCCTGTTTCTCAACTAGCCATTTTTTTGACTGTTGTACAGCTTGAGCCATGGATGAGGAAAGCAGCTAATGAGTWAAGGCAGATAAATCTCATCCATCCTTCCCAGCTGACCTCTGCATAAACAAAAAGCAGGGCACACCAGACTTTCTGTGTTTGCAAAACGTGACTTCCTCAACATGCAGTGAGTCCACCTGGATTTGTTCCCTGCACACTCTATGCAGACTCACTCTGCATGTGACCAGTTTATTCTCGTCAGCCTTAGCCCACAGTACAGATCAGTCACTTGGTTTGAAAGAAGAGTTTCACAGGCAGAATAAATTTCTATGTTAACAGTGTTTTGGTCATCTTTTGTGGAAATTCTAGGATCACAAGAGAGGGAGAATGGGGCTGACAAGGAGTGCCGCATCCTGAAAAGACTCCAGCACATCTGTGAAATCAGCCAGCCTGAGAAAAACGATACCCATATCTCTGGGAGACAATAAGGGGCAGCTCTACTGCACACCCTGATACAGGCCCTGCTTATACTGGTTTTACATCTGCTCTTTCCCTGACAACAGCTATGAGGATAAATTTATCCTGATGAAATGACAGCCTTTTCATACTGGCAGGTATGCAATACTGAAGAATCCACACATTCACACTCTCTGAATTAGCTATTTATTTAAGTCCTTATTGTTGTCCTTATCCTTAGCTCTACCAAGGGGTGCATGGAAGATCCATAATATAATTACTTTGTGAGAGTAAAGTGAAAGTATATTTTTAAAATACTAAGATGCCACAGTTTTTAAATTTCATTACAGATCAGAAGTGAAACAAATTTTAATAGGCTGATGCAAGGCTTCCAAGAATAGTGTTCTTAAAATGATAGGGTTGAAATGAAGACAGAAAGTCTTCTATATACTGTGAATATGAATAAGCCCAGACGTGTAACCTTRACTTACATTAACTGCTGTTGTCTTTTGACAACAACCCAGAAAGAAGTCTGGATTTTACTAAAAATGAGATAAAGAATTTTTGCAAAAAAACATCTTTATGCTGAGTTTGCAGAAGTTAAAACCTGTGACCTTGAAGCATATTTAACTAATGAAAGATTATCCTRAATGAATAAAAGAACCTTATTTCTTATGCGCTCCTTTTTGGATGCCATGTCATCACACTTGTCCTCTTTACCCAGTTTGTCTACTGCCTCCACAGTGAAGCTGTAGTTGTAGTTCCCTTTCTTTCCTCTGTCTTGGTTGTATCCTTTCCCCCATTTCAGCTCTTCTTCATTCCTTCTCATGAACTTGTCAAATTCATAGTGAGTTCTATGYTTTCTGCCATCATCCAATCGATACCTTTGTCTTTCAGGTTCTTTTTCTCGAAATCTTCTCTCCAAATCTCTTTGGTCTTTGTCACTATCATTTTGTGATCTATGAGTATGTATAAAAAGAAAGAAAATCCAAACAATTAACAGGAAAAAGGAGATCCAGAAGGATACAAGACAAAGGCTTCCTTTGACTTCAGCAGTGTGTAGGTAAGTTATATGGCAAGGTTGTTTTATTCTTATTTAAAAGGGGTTATATGCTGAATGTCTCACCCATGTATGTCCAGCCCTTCACCATACATTCAGTTCAGAATAGCAAACAAAGCTTTGTAAAGCTTGTGTCAACTGCTGTGGAAGGCCCATTCTTCTCCTTCACCTTTTTTCCTTCTGAGATCCTACCAATAGTACTCCAATACCTTTCACTTAAACACATGCTGCACTATTAGYTCTTGTGGCCTGCTGTTGAGGTGAATCATATGTATAAGCATTCCCTTGAAAAGGAAAGTTCAGGATCTGATAGATAGATACACTTTTACTGGTATTTGCTTGTGATGGGACACACATGCCAAAGGACAAGAAAGAGAACCAACTGCTGAAAGTACTTGTAAGACATTTCCAGGCTACAGCAGTAATAGAACTGAGCCTCTTGTTCCTACTGTTGCAAATGTAACACAAAAGGCCATAGGAGACAGATACATCCTTTTTGCATTTGTCTGTCACAAGGCTTTCATTCACACCTTCACTCTTTTACCATTGTCCCACTTATCAAACACATTTATGTGTTTATTGCAGCCAGCCCAAGKGTGAAGGAAAAGTATGGCATAATAGCCAATTTAGTCATAATAGCCAACAATGAAGGAAGCCCTTACCCGAGCTCTTGATGGGGAACAGGTGAAATAACAACAAAACTCTGAATGGCTTGACTTTTCCTGAAGAAATCCTTCCAATCTGGGATTTCATAGCATTTCACCAATAAAAAATTGCATTCACCAACTCTGCCACCAGGTCAGTAAATTGTTACAGAACAACTTTTACCAAAACAACAGGAAAAGATTTGTTCACATACAGGATGAAATTGGTTCTTTGGTGACAGAACATCTTGTCAATGCACCACTGATATTTAAGCCTTGGGATGAAAGCATTTAGCATCTAAATTAAAGACTAAAAGATAAATACTACTTACTTTTCCTTAAGTTCTTTTAGTGAACTGTCCAAGGATTTGGATTTTATACTCCCAGATCCWGGTGATTTATCCCATTTGTTTTCCTCAATGTCAGCTTCTTCACCTTTTTCTTTGTGCTTTTCGCTGGCCAGCTCATCTCCTTTTTCAGGTTTCTTGAGAAGCTAAGAGATATTTGTTTATATTATGATGCAAAATTATTTTCCTCCATTGTACAGACATTTTTTAACAAGTATTAAATATATCAGCAACCAGCAAAGATTGGAGATACCTTATTTACATGCTAGGAATATATTTTACAAAATACGAAATTTAAAGTGATTTAGAAAGGGCAGTTTACTTTTGATTAGGAGTGACAGTCATTACCAGGCATTCCACTGCAAACTTTCAAATATGCTGAGAATACTGGAGAAAGGACTTACCTATTCATCTCAAAGCACTTACCTACTCTTCTCTCCTGAGTTTTAACTATAAAGACATTATTATGGTCTATGGTTTCTTAGAAATCATGTAACAGACCTCAGTGTCATTGCCCGTAAAATAAGAAGCAGAACCTCTACAATACTACAAAGAGAGCAGGATTAATACTTCATTYCTTGAAATATTATGTATAAAATATGTGTCACATGAATTACCTGGGATAGACAGGCATGTAGAAATAGGTGCTTAGTATATCCTGACACAAATATGGTCTGAGGAAGAACTTATGATATTAGCAGAAAAAAGTCATTACATTTTCACCTTGAAGACTAGGAATTTCAAGGAGTCTGTTCCTTTCATAGCTTGAACAGTGTATAGAATTACAAGAATAATCTATACAGAAGGACCAACTGTCTTAAGTTATTACCCTGACATATCAGCTCTAGGCAGAACATCTTAGTCTTTTAATTTCATCAGTTTTTCTGAAATGAGCAAAGGTTGTTCTTCTCCAACATTTAAAACTTCTGTAATGTTTATCTCCGGTAATATTTTCCTTTTCTTTCAGAGACAGAACTAGCTTTCAAGGTCATATCACCACAGATATGTCATAAATACTGGGGCACTTTGGACAATCAATTTTGGGTAATACATTTTAGGGATTAAGTCCCTTCTCTTCTGAACTTCTAAGGTATTTTTTTCTCTGCCCAGATATGAAAAATATGTAATTCAGCTTCTGAATTTATTATTTTTATACTGTCAGGTGAAGAAGACTGTTTTCCAAGAAGAAAAGAAGAAAGATGTCTGGTTCTGTGGCTTCTCAATGCCACTAGATTTGAGTCAAATTTGTGTGTTCTTGCTCTACACAACAGCTTCTTATACTCAACTTCCTCTTCAAAACAGCCTATACAGCCTTTCCAATACCAAAAAATTTAGTTCAGATGAATAGTTTTATCTATGTCACCTGATACAAATAAGATAGTTTTATATGGTCTGACTTCATAGCACAAGATACACCCTCCTAAAGTCATTAAAATCTGTATAAGGCAATGCAACCTGAAATTAGCAAGATTGCTATAACTTGGCTACAACATATAATTAAAATACATCAGTTCTGAGCATAACATGTGTCTCTGCACACATGGCCAAGTGAAGATTTGCATGATGGGAAGTGTTAAAGCCATGTTTCACAGAAACACAAAATTACAGAATGAGTTAGAAGAGACTCACGAGGATCATTGAGTCCAGCTCTTAAGAGAATAGCCCATATGGGGACCCAGCCCACAATAATCTTCCAACAGGCTGGCACAGAACAATTTGGTTTTGTCAGGTAATGCTGGCAAGAATGCAACAGAGTTGTATATAGATATCCGAGCTACCTGCTGGAATTGCACCAGCACATCATGGTAGGTAAGGCCATCAGTCACACTTCAAACAACACTTGGTGAAAGCCCTACATCACTATCCCTTCCAGTCAAAACTGGTTTGGTGTTTCCACATTGTGCTGTTGTATACTAAATAAACATTGAGATACCAAAGAACTTCTAGATAACTTCAAAAGAAGAATAATTTTTTTTTTATTGATCTCAGTTACCTTGATCCTTATTTCTTTTTCAGATATTTTCTTTTGCTTCTCCACTTCTTTTCTTTTACGTCTTTCTTCTTCTCGGCGCTTCCTTTTCTCTTCCTCCCGCAAACGCTTTTTCTCCAATTCTCTCCGCCTTCGTTCTTCTCTTTTCTCTTCTCGTATTCTCTGAAGAGTTCAATAATGATTAATTGTAAATTGTCCAACTGAAAACCACATGAAACATAAATGTGGAACTTCAGGCAAAAGTCTGAACGTACCTGCTTTTCTAATTTTCTATTTTTAATATATTCCAAAAGGGGTGTTGTTCTTCTAGCTAAAACACAAAAAATTTGTGATATAGTGTTCAACTCCTAAAATGTACTCATTTATTTACTTTAATATTAACCCCCTTTTTCTAGCTTTATCAGAAAGGGAGCTAAATAATTGATAAACCTATTTGTTTCATGTATTTTTGAAGGTATTCCCATCACTCTGCTTCAGAAACACTTYGTTGCTTTTTTGCTGTTAGCATTAGAAGCAACAAAAAAAAGTTGCATGATTATTTGATGTTTAATTAAAGATCATATCTTTTCAGTTCAAGAGAATGGCTTTTCTCTCTTGCTCATTAAATGGTTATTTCACCAAAAAAGAAACGTGTTCCGAATCTATTCCTACTTTTTACTTTTGTACATCAAAGCCTAGCTATATTGCTGTTCCTATACAGCCCCCATTACTGTAATCTCAAATAGCACTTTTCAATMCCAGATTTCAAAGTAAATCAGGAAGGAAGCATTTTCAGTCTCATATAACATTTCCATTTACCTGACATTTGGCATTCATCTTTCCATGGGAAAACAAGAGGAATAGGAGATAAGYAGTTTGTCCCAGGTTACATAGGAAATTATCAGCAGATTCAATAAAACTCTGGCTTCTTAAATTACTAATAAAAGGTCTCATCTACTGGATCACAAAGTCATTCTTATGTTACACATYTGTCTTCACACTCTGAAATCAAGTCACCTGCCTGAACCATCCCCAAATTCTACAAAAACTGGGAAAACATAATCAAATTCATTATCATGTTCTTTATCAAATTCTTTATTAATGACCCTCAGTACTGAATTCAGACTTCAAATCAACTTGTACGTACAGCTGTGAGTAGTTAAAACAAATTTTGTCAGTTTTAGATGTCCCAGAATAGAAAATGTTTACTACTTGAAACTGCTTTACAGTTACGTATAGGATTTCCCTCAAACAAGAGAAAAATATTCACTATTGAAATGCATAATTTGAAAGAAAAAGAAAAAAGGGAAGAATTAAAAAAAATTTTCAACAAATTTGAAATGACATAGCCAAAATCTTGACACAATTCATATCCCAAAAACATTTAAGTCTTTTTCCATTGAAAGTTGGATTATGCTGGGGGCAACCCATTCATTAATAACAAAACTTTGTTACACAGTTATGAATGGGAAGGCTGACAGGATTCATCATTTACTTTTAGCAGATATCAATGGTAGGATGCAACAACCAATAAAGGTTGTTGATTTACTATTTTCCTCCCTCTATYCCTAGATTTTCCATGCCCTCCCATCCTCTCCACCAGCCCATATTTTTTGATAAGTTTTAGGTCCCCAGTGCCCTCCCTTCCAGTCCCTCAAATCTGAGTTCTGCCCCTCTCTCCTCCTTCCTAAGTACCCCCATCTGAGCAGGGGTTGTCTCTGGGCACCTTTATATGCCAAAAGAGATCACAAATTGTAACTGGAAGGGGAAAGGATAAGCTGCACTGAGAGTCCAGAACTTGACCGTAATCATGAATAAGGCTATAGTGAAAAAGGTTTAATGAAAAATTAAAGCTTGAAGCTCAAGGGAGAGAGGCAGTGTGATGAGTACTATCAAAAGAGGAGGGAAAAACCCAATGTTTATCAAATTTGACTCTTACTTCTTTTATTTATGGGTCTTTCCACAAATAAAAATCTGAGAGCATTTTCTTAAAATGCCTAAGGAACTTCCTTGAAACGAAAATGAATTACTAAATGAAAAGCTGTGGCAGCAAAACTTTACATTTTATCTTGCTCTCTACAAAGAAAAAAGGCCTTATCTTCATCTTTCTAGAAAGAAAATCTCTTTTATATCTCTATCACATGGAAACTGATCAGCTGACGCATCTGGCATGATGCATAAACATATTGGTTTGCAGTAACTCTACATGGAGAAATGCTGAGCATGTGAGGCTCAATTCTGTCAGCAAAGCCTTGGGCACATCCTTTGCTGACACCAATAGGAGTAACGCCTTTGAAACTGGACACAAAGCTAACTAAACCTTTGCATAATTTTGCTATAAGCATGCTACATGCTGAAGAAATCTTTGGTTTTGTATTGATAGCAATGGCCACAGCTTTGAATAGCATGTAAAATAAAGGAACTAGTTTGATTTCCTCTGATTTAACAGAAACAGAGCCTTAGAAGTCTTAATGTAAAGCTGCTTCCAGTCAAAACTGTTACTCAGAAATCTACAACTCCCAAGATTAAAAATTTTCACTGATAGAATATTTTTAACCTAATACATATTGAAATTGTAAATTTACAAAACCTTTGGTAAATTGCAAACTTACTAAAATTTTACTACCTTTACTCTGCTGTCAAATACCACAGAAGATTTGGGGTAAATAAAAATTATTGGGTGACTTCCCCATCAAAAACAGCAACAAACAAGTTTTACTGATAACAGAGTTATCTAACTGTCCATTTCAATTTCCTCTAAATTGTTATAGTTACAAATCTCTCCAGTCAACTCTCAAACAGCAGTAACAAGTGACAGGAAAGAGGAAATGGACTCAAGATGCAACAGAGCAAGTTTATACTGAATACAAGGAAAAATTTCTTCATGAAAGACTGTCAAGCACTGGAACAGGCTGCCCAGGGAAATGGTATAGTCACTGGCCCTGGACATAGTTAAACAGTGTGCAGTTGTGGCATTTGGGGTATGGTTTAGTGGTGAACTTGGCATGGTTTGGTTAATGGTTGCACTTGATGTTCTTAAACAGCAAGTTTCCAACCTAAATAATTCTAATCAAAAGTAGCTACTTTTACTCTGTAAAGAAATAACTTTACTCAGCACATACTGACAAATGTGCTGAATTCAGGCAAAGTGAAGTTTTAGCAGCATCATAAAAGTAACTTGCAAAGGTAATATTTTTCTTTTTCCTACTTAATTGTCACACCTAGGAAAAGACTAATTGTTCTGCATGTTATCACTTTAAGACACAGCACATCAATATTCCATGTCACCCTAAAAGCTGCATACCAGCAATGAAGATTTCAGTGTTGACCTTACTCATAATTCCCCCCAGGACTGTGGAAGTCATGCTGCATGCATACAGAAAACAAGGTGTTGCCTTACTTTCGGAGTTTTTCCAGAATCTTGACCGTGAGAACAGAGAGAGATCATTTCATGTTTCTTAACAAAAGTAGCTAATATCAGGGATCAGTTGTTAAGTATTCAGCTATATTTTAAAAAGAAATCCTCCATCTATTAATTCATCTCTAAGCATTCAGAATTATTAAGGACTTATTTCTGAAGCCAGTGTGCATGCAAAAGTTCAAGTGAAGCCAAGTGATAATATGCATAGAGACTTAAGAGTTTTACTTCTATTACTTGGCTAGATAATAAATACTTAACTGTGGTAATATAAATCTGTTAGACTGAACATGTCAACTTCTGCAGGTAGTATAATAAAGACATAAAAGTAAGATATTGAATATTCTCAATAATAAGAAAAATCAAGAAAACCGACCAATGAGTTCCCTTGTTTTGGCCTCAATCTCTCCCAAAAGAATCTCAGGATTGGCACAGATCTTCTCCTCATCAGCACAATAACTCTCTAAAAATCTCCTATATTCTGGATCTGTGAAGAAAAATTTTTGAATTGTGTTAACACTTTGCAGAACATAACAGAAATTTTCCAGTGTGATACAAAAAAAAAATCATTCACCATCTTCAATGCTCCCGGCTTTGGCATCTTTCTTCTTCAGCTTCTTTTTTGAAATCTTCTGGAATGGAGCAAATTCAACCACTGCAGGATACTCCAAACCTTAAAAGAAAGCAATCCTTAATTTTTTGAGGGGGAGAAACATTCTTTACTTTCAAGTAAGATTTTTTTAAACTCTTGCACATGTGTTGGGCAGTCCTACTTGAAAACAAAAGTAAATGTTTCTACAATTCACACCTAAACTTCTAATGAAAAGTTACATGCAGAGGTACTTCAAATAAAAAAAATTGCATTTTATTAGGATATGCTGACTGTAAAAATGTGCATGACTACTGTTGCATAATAGAATTCTTGCATTATTATTTATAGTTCCCATTTAATTATTCACAGACATTGACTAGAATAATCGACCCCAAAATCTCAGTCTGACAAGTGATTAAGTACTACTGCAGTGGAAATCAATCTGAAACTGTTGAGTTGCTTTTCTAAAGCTTTTTTGCCTAAAAGCTTAAAAATAAATAAATGCTGGGTAATATGCAATAAACAACATAGTATCTCCTTTCAGAACCATAACTGTAAAACTCAGCACATAGAATTGTGTGAAATTTTTTGTCTGCTTACAATGGACTATGCAACTCCTGCCTGTGTTTAGTGGCAGGGATTCTTTGCTCTGAATTGTGCCTAAAGCACTGGCTTCCTCTTTGGACTGGAGTCGGAACTGTGTGTGAATTTTGAATTTTACTTGGTTTGCACCTGCAGCAGGTTTGAGATTACACTTCCTCAAATCCACTGAAAACTTGTCTTCAATCTGCTAGAACATTTTTTAACCTTACTGAACCTGCTATTCCTTGTTTCAGTTTTAGCCTCATAATGCAATGCCACTACAAGTATCACCAGAGGGCATTTCTGAACAAACCTTGTGCTCTTTCTTTGCACAAGCATTCACACCAAACTGGCCATCTGTGTCCATGCTCAGTTTCACAATGTACAGAGTACTCTAGATTCAGTCCAGCATAATACTGACAAATGTGCTGAATTCAGGCAAAGTGAAGTTTTAGCAGCATCATAAAAGTAACTTCTTTCTAGTTTTTAATCTTAAAACATCCAGATTTTAAAATTTGGGAAACACATACTGCTAGGAATTTGTTGTTCTTCATCTTTAAAAAAACTCATCCAAATCTGAGGGATATTAGAAGCAAATAAAACATCTCAGGTAGGAAATGCTGAAGAGCAATTCATTAGTTTGACAGCATCTTTAAGGATCAGTTTCTAGTAAGAGTAGGCAAGACTACTTTTCACAGGACCTCTCCCAAACCGAGTGTACAGAATGACTATACAAGAGATCCATAAATCTATGTCTATTTCATATAACTTATGCAATGTTTTACAGAAAGTATGACTGAATGAGACAAGGGACTGCAAAAGTTCTACTAAACCACCTCTTATTGAAGGCAACTTCATATTCCTGCAGGAGACCCGGAATAATCCACACCTACATTACAGACTTTTTCCTTACTGTTGAGCAAACTTTTGCAGACTGAACATTTTAAAACTGGCAATCAATTTTGCCACTCTTTTTCTTGGAACTCAACTCGGGATGTCTGCAAAGGCCCTAAAAATTCAAGCTCTACATGTCTTAAAAGAGTGCAACCAAAATGTTCAAGGTTTCCTTTTGTGTTTTCCAAACAGGAATAAGTGGCACAACTTTATCTCAGAAACACACTGAAGACATAACAATTCATGCTCACAATGTGTTGAGTTACTGTTGTAATGAATTGTGAAGCTTGCATAAGCTAATTTTCTTAGTATGATCTTGATAGTGTTTTGCCTAAAGTACAAGAATGCACATAAAGCATGCACACCACACAGACAAACAAGACAACATGGACAAATATATTCTGCACTTTATTATATTTTAAGTGCTAAATGTTAATGTATTTATAAACTAATTTAAGTGCATAGCAAGAAATAAGAGCACAATTAGCAAAAAGGAAGCAAGGTGATGTTCTAAAATGGTATATGCATATATACACACTTGATATCTTATAAATAATCCAACCTTTACTATCAATGAAGACATAGCCATCAAAGCGATCTCTAAAAAGTAGGATGTCCTCAGGATTTCTAAAATTAATGTATGCTCTTGAGTAGAGATGAGGATAAAGGCTGTAACAAGAAACAATTTTATTTTCTGTTATTTATTAATCTTTTCAGGGCTAGAGAAAACATAAAACCATTTATCACATCGTAATTCTCATCTCCTTTGAGAAACTGCTACCTTAAGCAATCTTTACATTTACATATCTAATGATATATATGACAAAAAGTAACAGAACATCAGAGCTCTGTGTGCAACTGTGAAATTTATTCTGCACTGACACAGCTGTCATTTTGTTTTGTTTCCCTATACTGCAGAGTATATACTTCCAGCTGAGCAGGATCAAAACTTTAATATTTCAGAATTTAAGGGATATGAATAACATCAGTGCCTTTGGGGAACTTCTTGGACATGCTAAGAAAAGTCTTCTGTCACTGAAACAGAAAATGTTAAGTAAAAGACTGCAGTGAAGTGGCAGTTTACAGGCTGTTACTGAACTTGAAGAGATTTCCAGTTAAGTAAGCATAAATAAGCTAATAGTTGGCAATATAATCCAATGAACTACACACAAATTAATAGAGTCCATCTCACATCCATGTGTTATCAATGTACATGCAATGTCTACTTGTGAACAACAGTCACTGTGAAAATCCAAAGCATTTCTAGCAAAAGAAACAGGTATTTAAAATAATTCCAATTCTTCAAGAATTTGTTGGCACAGATCCCACTCCGTGGGTAAACGTTTAATGTGCCTGATAAAAACCTCAGGGCTGGCACTCCACAACCATGATGAAATGGAGGTAATTTAACGAATTAGAACCCGTCAGCTAAGTTATTGTGAGTCACAGCATGTACGTGCTTTAAACTTCTGCAAATCTCATATAAAACAATTTGTTCTAAACTGCCTCAATAATGACTACATGTTACATCAGGTTTTTGAACAAATCTTAACACAAGCCTATATCTTAAAACAGCTATGTTCATAATTCCATTGTCATATATGGCCCACCTTCAGACCAGCTCACCACCAGCACCAGGAGACAACACACACAGCTGCAATTGTATTTCAGTGCCATAGCTCTTTCAAAATTGTACTTCAAAATAATTGAGAAGGAGCAAAATATGGATTGGATCAGAGAATTCATGCATGTGGCAGCTCAAAGGAAGACTGTTCCAAAGTAATTTTTTCTTTTTAAAATATGCATCCATATGGATTCCACTTATGGTGCTAGGAGGAGACCATAAAGAGCAGTGCTGTCAATAACTAATGGTTTTATACACCCTTGTGTTTGATCCTGTAGACAGAAGAAATGTTAACACGCCTCACCCCCCAACCTAGAGGGCTTTTTCATTTAAATGCTTTGCAAATACCAGCTATGGAGTGTTTCTACAGCTTGAAAAGTATCAACTCTCTATTTCCAAGGAAGAGAGGAAGAGCTATTTTATCCATATACAACCAGTATATTTTGACATTCTAATACGGGAACACCACTGCATGAAATGTAAGTGGGTAACTGCAAAAATGCCTGCTAGGGCATTGCCAGGGCTGAAAGGTGTGATGGGGTGGCTGCAGAGTTACCACCAAGATGCAAAGCAGATACAAGGCAGATTTCCTCTCATCCATTTCAAAGAAGACAAAATTTAACACTTTTCATAATTACACAGAGTTAAAAGGTGTATTTTAAAATGTGTAAGCAAAGGAGGGAATTTTCTTGTGGCAATCTATAGCCATGCTAGAAGCAATGTCTCTGTGCCACCCAATGGCTACAACAGCAAAAAACTCTCAGATAAATGGGACTCCCAGGAAGAAGGAAACTTCCTTTTGTGTCATATAAACAGCACTATTCTTATTTTCATGTGCTTTGCAGTTTAAATAAAATGAGGCCTGACATTTTGATTGCAACTTGAAATGCTGAATATTCACCAGACAAAACCTGGAGTCTCGAGAGAGCATTATTTTTCATCTTAATTATCTGAGACTGAGAAACTGAGCTTCGGTTCCTAGGCTAATAACTACTTCAGTGTTCTTTTTCATCTTCAGTTTTTGTAAAATACCAAAACTTTCTGTAGATTAAAGACTGCTACTTGGACAATGGTCCACTCCTACATTACTGTGGCACTTCTCTGCCTCAATGCACAGCAAGCAGCTCCATCATACAGCTGGATTATTTTTTTCCTAAGTAGTTTTTTCTAAGCTCCTACTTAGAACCTTAAGGCTGGACACATTGTGAAAAAGAACTGAAAATACAAAGACTTGTTCCTTCCTTGTTTCCTTTAGCTGATATATCAATGTCATCTATTTCATCTCCTTTGGCAACATAATCTTTTCCTGGTACACAACATAATTTTTTTCTAGCTGTTTCAGCTTAGTGAAAAAGAGTGAGTATCTTTCAAAACTGAAGAACATTGATTGATTATTAGTAAGGAGAAACTGAGCCTGAAATTTATGAACAGGTATGGAAAACAGAGTTTTAGAATTTACCTTGCAAGTAAGGGGATCCAGTGTTGTTCCTATGTGTTACTAACGTCTTCAAAAATTTCACAGGCATCAGCAGAAACATACAACAATCTAAAAGCACGGTTGTGCACAGCAGGATATTGATGCACACCTCGGCAGAGTGGCACAGAACTGTCCATTATTGTTATCAGGGCAGAAGGTTGCAGAAACGGAGCTGTGACAATGCTCAGCAGTTACAAGTTCCTTCTCTGATGGAGCCACTTCTACAAATAGAGCTGGTTCTCATATGTGAGTTAGCTATCCAAGTGCTTATGGTACCAAACCCACACCATTTCAAATCTTTGTCTTAGACTTCGTACCCAGCAAAGTGCGGAGTGTGCCTAAAAAAGTGTATAAAATTAACATTTTAAATGTGAAGCTAACTAAACTTAGCAAATTTGAAATACTTAGCATTGACCTGCATATATATTACTTTTACTCTAGGTTTCAGACACCTGACTTCCAGCTGCTGCTCCTCACCCTGGATTATATGTTTTTACCTATTCACTGAGACCTCAACAGCAAAGAATGCACAGGGCTTCACAGGGCGACTTTGAGGCAAAGGACCTCTCCTACTCTTGTCTTACTTTTGTACATTTTTTTTAGCAATTACTGTCTAAAATACTGCTTTTGCTCTTCAGGATTTTATCTTCCAGCTTAGTCCTACAGCAGGGCCAGTGAACTCTATGTGTATCCATTTTTTCAAGTAGATTATTAAAGATTTCATTCAGCATTCATCTCATCAGAGAGCTGGTTCCATTTCACCATATGTTTGCTGTCTATAATGCTGCTTTCCATACGCAGGTTTTGGACAGATGCACTGCACATGTTGGCACTTGGAGCAATTGCTATGGAAATAACCCAGATGAGTCTGAGTGTACACATTTATTCATTCCAACACAGTTTTTTCTTTTTCTGCTCTGCATTCAAGGGTATTCAATATTTTAGGGTACATTTATTTCTACAACATTTAGACTATCATCTCTTTAAGCCCTTATTTTCACAGCAACTTTAATAAGAAGCATATTCTAAATGTTTACTTCTTCTACAAAATATCTTTTAACACAATTGTGTAAAAAGACTGATACACAGGAATGCAATTTTAAATATTTACASTCTAAACAGCAGCATGTTAAACTATAATAACAGCAATCTCAGTGAAATAACAGCTTGTGAATCCTGGTGGGTATTTATAAAAATATACATGCTTAAATGCATATAGAGGTCTACAACAAAATTTTGGAAAGTCTAATAACTCCTCCATCCACTCATACAGTAATTGGTAACTCATCATCCACAGACTAAATCCCCTGGCCTTCACCATTGTCATCCTCTGTAGTCATTCATGCAATGGGTGGAACTGGCACAATTCTAAACTAACTTAGTCTTTCTTTTTTACAGCCATAAATGAGCAGTTTGTCTGGCAGAGAAAGCAGAAACACTTGAGTTGTGCCAATCAAAGCCCTTCATATATTTCATCCACAACACAGTAGTGGTGGCTCCCTCAAAGCTCTAAAGGCACTGTGCCTTCAGTGCTGCAGTTCCTGGGTGCATACCTGTATCCTACAGTGTTAATGCTGTTTAGCTACAGTAATCCTGAGCAAAATGTTGTGAAGGGGAGTGCTCTTTGGAAAGCTTTATCACTCTCTGTGATACATTGCAATACAACAATAGCACTGATATTTGAAGAGTTTTCACTTAAGCAAAGCCTGTGTTCAGATTTCTTTCCTTTTATACCTCACAACACTATCAATGATTCCTGGCACTCAGCACTCAGTGCCAGTCCAGAGACATGACCCAAACCCTGCAGGGCCATTTGACCAGCGATTAGTCAAATCTTCAGAATAGACTCAGAAACCTTTACAAGCAGAAAAAGGGAAAAGAGTATCTGGAAAAAAAGAGTTAATATTTGAAGCCTGAGTACAAGACAGGCTGTCAGGAAGGCAGAGTCTTTATTACCATCTATAAATAATGTTTTGTTTTTTGATGTCAATATGTAAGAGAAAATAAATGTAATGCAGTGAATCGGATGAGTCAAAAAAATGAACGAAACACAAGTCACTTTCTGAAATGATTTTACTGAAATTGATGTAACAAAAAATGAAAATTATATTAACCACATGACATTTTAAAAAGTTTTATAGCTTGCCTATAATAGGACATTGTAAACTTAAAGATAACATTTATAATATAAAGATATTATTAAGATTACAAAAAAAGAGAAACTGGAGTTGATACGCATATCTTTATTTTGTCCTCTAGGATGAGATTACCTTGGAAATAAAAATGTAGGAAAAGCTACAGTTAAGACTTCCCTAGTGCCCTTACCAACAGCAACTGATGGAGGATGCCAAGAGAAAGTTTATTAAAAAGGGGAAATGTACAAACACTTCACCCAGTACACAATTTCAAGTACTTGCAGCCTAGGTACTTTTTAATACCAAATTTTTACATTGTGTTCAATAGGTTTTCATAGAGAAGTATTTGTCTAACTGCTCCTGACCCACTTACAACATCCATCATTTGTAGCAAGAATTTCTGACAAGTTCTAGTTTAACGGAGAACTGTGTAAAAAAAAAAGTTTCTACAGAAACCTGAATAAGCTTTTAGAAACTTCTGTGATGTAGTTACACGGGACATTGTTAAACTGAGATACTACAGCCCTTAAGCAAACTTTTCTTTCTGTATCAAAGCATCTATACGCCCCCTTCCCTTTTCAACAGTGATCCTCTTCACTGAGTAGCTTCAAATCCTTCTCACTGGGTGACACGAAATTTCTTTTCATCTTCACATGTTTTTATTATCACTGAATTATCTGGATCGGTTGCCACTATGCACATGGTACAGGATCTAGAAAAAAGCTATCCAGTGAAAGACAGAGAGAACATGCCCACCTTGTCCTGTAGCTTTTTCTCTTAGGTGGAATGACATGAAGACACACACACAGAATTTTCTGAAATCTTGTGAACTGTCGATAGCATGACAGATGATGGCAATTTAATCCTTTACATTCAAAAAGAGTTCTCTGCTGGGTTAAGAGAAGACTGAGACTCAATGTATTAACCTTGTCTCTTAACTTTTACTTCCTGAAAGTTTATTGTATATTCCTGAGCGTGTGACCATGTAAAGAGATGACTCATAAAAAGATATACATGGGTATGTGTCAGCATTTGAACAAAGGGGACAAAGGAGACAAGGTGATCCTGAGCCAGTCAAAAGACAAATAATCTAAAATTATTTATCTAAAAAAAAAATGCAGAACCACAGTGAAATGCCTATTTAAGCTGCATAGTTTGCTGAAAGAAGCTGTAGACACACAAACCTGGCAAAGATAAAACCATTCTGAAAAATTACATATTTTGTATGAAAATATGAAACATTTTTAAAAAAGCAAGACAAAGAAAAAAAGAAGTAAGCATAAAATACTTCAGGCTGAAAAATTCAAACTTAAAATTTCTTTTGAGTTTAAATTTGTGAAGGCAGAAGACAGTAACATGACAAATAACACCATGAGAGGAAAAACACATTATCTTTTATTGGTAACTTGCCATAGATGCAATTAAATGAGTGAACAGCCAGATTTTTGGGTAATCCAAATTTCACCACATAAGAGAAAAAATGAAACTTTATATGCACCACTGTTGTCAGTGCCTTCTCTTTTCTAAACAGGCTGACTCCATAAATTCTTATGTGAACAACTTTCCTGGAAAATTTAAATTGTAGTTTTTTTAACTGTTAATTGGCATTTGTGCATCTGAACACACTGAGAACTGACACTCTTCTTCAAAAATTTTTGGTTTGCCTTTGGTATTTTCCTCTTATCAAACAAACAGCTGGGACAGAAGCCCTAAAGAAGCCCACTTGGAAATAGAGATTACAAAGTTCAGAAAAGCATTGTAAGGTACTACAAAGGCTTCCAGTCAGACTAAGTACTCCTCTTTATTCACTTCACAATCTTTGTGGTCTTAACAGCAAAGCTGAAGCACCTACTATTTTGTTGCTGCAACATCAGACAAAGTGATGTGCAATATGTGCAACTACCTAGGTCAGAAACTTATAATTTCTCTAAAAAATTATTTCTATCTGATTGTGAAATTGACTCTGAGAGAACCCCTAACTTCAAAACTTGGTCAGCAATAAAGATTTGGGATCCCTCTGTAGTCTGTGGAAAGAATCTCATAGCAGTGAAGGGGTGATTCATCACACACTAAGGTATGACAAGATGGATCTTATACTTCAGTTTTTCAGAACATATGAAGGTGAAGCATACATGGTGTTTTGTTTCAGTGGTTAAGYTTCTTCTCTTCTGGAAATTGATTTTTTCAAAAGGGAATTGCATTTTGCCACTGTGATACTGAATAAATTATATAACTATACCAGCAATTCTGTTTTCTTTTAAAACAACCAATATTTCTTCTTTTTATTTTTGCATGAGACAAAAATGAATAAAACTACAGACTATCTGAAAAACTGTATGAAGCACATTAAAAAACATGCAAGTAAACAAAGACATTAAACTCAAATGGAACTCATTAAAACATTCTGTGATTGCTTGTCCCAGACTGAATCTTGCTCACAGCCAACAAAACAGGCTGTAAATGTTTACCAATGAAAGTTATAAGAAATATCAGGATTTCAAACCAAATGAGGCCCTATTAATATAAAAAAAATCCCATTTAAAATCCTTGGTTTAAAAGAAAAGTGCAGGAATGTTGTTGTTTCTGCATATGCAGCCAGCTTTTCCTAAATACCTTATGTAACTCTAGTAGACTGACCTGTTAAGGGATAATGACTCAAAACATGCTTCATTTGTGGAGACACCAAGGAGAGCTTTCAGGTGTGTAAAGACTAAAACTCTGATCTGATAAGACACAAGGTGAATGATGGGCTGTGAGTGAGACAGAGTAGGACCTTGTGGAGATGGACTGTGCCCCTTGTCATGCTAAGTTTTCCTTCCTTGCACAAACCACTGGCTTGTGAGGCTCCCCTTCCTCTCCTGGGGAGTACCGGGACAGTCAAGTGTGACCTGAGTGGTCCATGGCTGCTGATGTGACATAATGGGGCACAACTGACTCAGCTGTGCTGGTGTGATGGGCAACTGTGCCTAAAAGGTGTCCCCTGATCCACATTACAACATCAAGCTCTCTACCCCACAGGAGGTACCTGGTTTATATTCACCTGAAGCTGAGTGAATACAGACCTAATAGATTATGTGTTCCATGGATTTCTCCCCACCACTTCTTCAGGACTTCCCCCCACCTCCTCCCCATGGGTCTGGATCCAAGACTGCAGAGCAATCAAGTCTTCTTGACTTGAAGAAGACTTGGTGAGATCCTCACACTCTTATACTTTGGTTTTCTTTCTTTTCTGCTTCAAACTCTTGTCTTTTCTTCCTCTTTCTTCCGTTTTTTCCACATATGTGTGTCCTTGTGTGATGATGCTGAACTTTTGCATTGCAATGCTTTCATGTTTTTATTACTATAGATTATAACAATCAAAACGGCTCCTATACCTGTTTTCCTTTGCAACCAAATTGTTCTATAACAAACCCTACATTGTTTATTTACAAACACTGATAATTCAGTGTCATTTCACACTAATTTGCCCAAAGGGATCTAGCAACAAGAACCTGGGTTACCCCCACCTTTTGTAGCAAGTCATAACAGTAACCAACAGATATAATAAAAAAGGGGAAAAATATATGATTTTGAACATCCCAAATTCCTTGATTAGGTTTTAAGCACCTGAAAGCCTATAGAAACAGCTCACCCTCACCTGGGATCAGCAGTGCAAAACTCAAAATAATCATGGGCAGGTAGAGGATGCAGCTGTTCCTCCAGTTGCTCCTTGGTTAGACAAGGAGGAAGCCTTCGAATAACCACCTGCATATATAAAAAGAAATGGAGATTTATCTTTGATCTAAATACTGTAGAAACAGATGGCACAAATTCCCAAAATCCATTTCTGCAAGCATTTATAACTGTAGGGTAACTGATAAATTCTGAAGAGCTGGAGTACCACTGCAATTTAACCATTAACAAACTAAAAACCAGATATTGATTACATAAAATTTCAGAAGCATCTCCTCCAAAAATGATTTAAACTAGTTTTCAAGTCTTGTTACAGCAGTATTTTAGTGTAGTAAGCCTCTGAGTCCAGCTGCTACTGGCAGGGGTTTCAGGGCAGCCTCTGAGAGGATGCTAGGGCTGTGCAATGCTGAGTGCAGCCAGTTCCAATAGATTCACCCCAGGGCACATTCTGAGCCCCTCAAGCCGAGATAGTGGTGACTCTGGAAAAGGTATTTTAAGGAAGAACAGGAAAGGCTGCACAGCTGTGGGTGAGAAAGAGGAGTAAGTGGGGGGAAAAGTGTAAGACATGGCCTTGCAGACAACAACAAAAGGAGAAGGAGGGGAGGAGGCGCTCCAAGTGTCRAAGTGGAGAGTCCATTGAAGATCATGGTGAGGCACGCTGTGCCCACACATGCTGTGAAGGACCATGGTGGAGCAGACACCCACCTGCAGCCCTTGGGGGCTCCATGCCAAAGTAGGTGGAGATTCCCAGAAGGGCCCTGCAACCCATGCAGAGGAGCCCACACTGGATCAGTTTTATCCTGAAGGCCTGTAGCCCATGAAGGAGATTCATGCTGCAGCAGGTCATGAGCAACTGCAGCATGAGGTAGGGACACTCCTGCAACACCTCATGAAGGACTGCATCCTGCTGTGTCCCATGTCAGGTCCCCCATGCCAGAGGARGAAAGGAGTGTGAGGAGGAAGGAGCAACAGAGAGGAGCTGTTATGTCCTGTCTACAACCCCCATCCCTCATCTTTCTACAGTGCTTGSGGGCAGAGGAGGTTGAGCCTGGGAATGAAGGGGAAGGTAGGAAGGTGTTTTAGTTGCAATCTTTTTTTCTCACCAGTCTTTTCTATTTTTTTTTAAATTAGGAATTAAGTAAATTAATTATCTCCATGTATCATACTKTATCCTGAGTTAGTAGCTACCCACAAGGACCACTGAAGTCCAACTCCTGGCCCTGCCCCAAGAATCACATCCTGTGCCTGACAGCATTGTCCAAATGCTTCYTGAACTGTCAGGCTTAGTGCTCACCATTTTCCCAGGGAGCCTGTTCCAATGCCCAACCAGTCTCTGGGGGAAGAACCTTTCCCTAATMTACAACCTAAACCTCCCCTGACAGTTYCATGCCATTCCTTAGGGTCCTGCCACTGGTCACCAGAGAGATCAGGGTCTGTCCCTCAATTTCCCTTTGTGAGGAAGCTGTATGAAGCTGCTATGAGGTCCTCCCTCAACTGTGTCAGTTTTCCCTGCGATGACACTTTGTTCTATCATACCTTCTTCTCGAGTCTTGCTAAGGGAAGACTGTGAGAGGAGTTGCCTGGTGGTCTGACAGCCACYCAGAGTCAATTCACCACACTCAGCTAAACTGCCCAATAATAAAGGCTGGAAACTCTGTAGAAACYTCTGGCTGAATGATGCCAGAACACAAAGCAGTAAAATGGCCATCAAGCTTTAGGAAATCTGTTTTAATTTTTGAATATTTTAATATCTTAATTGAACTTCACTGAGCTCTGAATTAAAATGATGTTCAGTGCTTCAGTTTTCCAATTCAAAAAAAGGGGAATAAATCAAATCCCACAGTACTCAAAACTCAAAGTATTGCTAAGGATGAAAGGGGCCTTTGGTTCAACCGCACTTCCAAGGCAGGGTCATTACAGCAGGTGCCACAGGAATATGTCCAGGTGGGTTCTGAACGTCTCCGGCCAGGGAGATTCCACGACATCCCTGGGCAACCTGTTAAAGTCTGCAAGTAAAGACGGGCGGAGAGATGTGCTCTTGCCCTTGACAGAAGCTGCTTTGCTACAGCAATAGGCAGCCTTGACTTCACAGTTAAAGGTGAAATGATTTCCCGCGCTGACGCTGGGGGTCTCCCACTACTCCAGGCAAAGAACACCCTCATTCTGCAGATGAAGAAATACCCGTTATAAACACAGGAATCTCCTGAGGTGAGACTCGGTCTGTGTCCTCACTGCAGCCTCCCTCCCGTCCTCTTCCATCCTCTCCCATCTCCCACCGGAGCCGCCGCCCCCGCCCCGATCCCCGCGCCGCGCTCGCGCCCCCTCACTTTGCTCAGCGCCGTTTTCTTCTCCTCCCGCAGTTTCCCCGGCGCCGGCTGAAGCGGCGGCGGCAGCGGGGACGGCGGGGAAGGCGTCGGCGGCGCGTTCGGCGGAGCGTCCGCGTCGCGGCGCGGCGACTCCTGCCGCAGCGGGGTGTCCATGGGCCGCTGGTCGCGGCTGCCGCCCCGGACCGGCCCCGATCCCGGCCCCAAACCCAAACCCAACCGCAATCCCAACCCCAACCCCAGCCCTGCCTCCCGCTCCGACCGCATGGAGCCGCCGCGCCCACAGCCGCGCGGAAACCTCGCGAGAACTGCCCGAAGGCTGGCGGGATCTCGCGAGGGTCCCCCGGTGGATGTGTGCCGGTCCTCATTGCTCCTGCAGCCCCACAGGGCTCCACTGTGCCCGTGCCAGGAGAACACACTGAAATGTGCCCATTTTCCTCCTCTCACGGCCTCGCCCTAAGCTCACGGGTGCCTTGTTACCCCGGCCCCAGAGCGGCTCGTAGGGCGGGAATGGCACAGACGCCGCGGGGGTGTGTTATGCACCGTCTTWGGATGCAGGGTCTGAGGGGTAACAAATTTCTGGGGAGAAAGCAGTGGGAAAAAGGAAGAAAGGCCGTTACTAATTACTTGCATGAAGCYAGGAGTCTTGTGCCTGCAGGGAGGTTCTGTCATAATGCATTGCCAGCCCCAGCTCCGGTGGCCCGCAGCAGCGAGACCTCTTCAAACGGTGCCTCTGGGCCTTTGTGCCTGCCTTCCTCAGGAACTCTGGTGACAGGACAAGGGGAAATGGGTACCAACTGAGAGAGGGGAAATTTACACTAGATCTTAGCAAGGAACTTAACTCTGAGGGTGGTTAGGCACTAGAACAGGTTGCCCAGGGAGACTGTGGCTGYGCCATCCCTGGCAGTGTTCCAAGCTGGGTTGCACAGGGCAACCTGKCAGGGAGGTGTAGATGCATGATCTTTAAGGTCCTTCCCAAACCATTCTATGATTCCATGATTATTCTAAATGCTGACCCATCAATCAGAACAAAGCTTATTCCGTCTTAGACTGCAATCAACAAATTTTGCAATTTCTACATCCAAAAAATTTCTTGAAATTCCTGTGTGAGTTGGAGTATCTTGGACTACATCTAGAATTGGTGGCAGAGGTAGAACAAGCTCCAAAGTAAGGATAAGTCATAAGCATTTATGGACAGACTTGTCCTTTCTACAGAAACTAGACAGAAGGTGCAAAAAAGCCTGCAGTTTAATTAGAACACACAGGGTCATTGCCAGTCTTCACATCCTGCTGCATTATTGGTCCTCAAACAGCTGTCCACAGCATGAAGGATATACATGATCTGACATGGAATAATAAAAGCAGGTGGCATTGTCTGAGAAAACTGAAATCACAGAATATTCTGAGTTGGAAGGCACCCACAAGGACCATTGAGTCAATTCTTGTTGAGTGGATGCCAAGTAGATGGCCCACAAGGGGATCACRCTTGCACTGCTGGCATTATTAGCACCATCCTCTAACCAACTGAACTAACACATTACTCCTTTTCAAATCTTTCAGGTATCAGTAGCTATAAAGGGACTTTTGGAGCCATTTGCAGCAGAAGTATCTTGTGAGTTTTCACATCTATTCTGAAAACCTTTCAGGCAACAGTCACATCTCCCCACTCAGACAAAACCGATCCTTGGAAGAGAAAGATGAAGTTATGGGACAGAGTAAAAATGTCTCTTTTGGGGGTGTAGTTGTAAGCCACCCAACCTGAACCATCCTGGGCCCTTGTACTCAGCAGCCAAAGCCAAGTGAGGCAACGGCAATGGATGGAAGCAAGATTCAAGATTCTGAGGTCAAGTCAGGCCAAAATTAATAACCAAAGTCCTCATAAGGACAATACTCAATTTAACTAGAGCCAGGGTAAATGTCWTAATAACCCAGAAAGGCACTAACCATTGTCTAGGAAGCAGAGTCCAGGCAAGAGCAGGACTGGAGCAGGACAGGGCTGGGAGGTGCAGAAAGCTAGGGCAAGCAGGTGCTGCCAGTACAAAGGCAGGGATTTGGACAGAACAAGAGCAGGTCAAAGCATTGAACAGAAGATAAATGAGAAGAGAAAAACTTTAGGGAAAGTCCTGAGACACACATCATGAAYCAGCTCACAAGCTCTAACCCAACTRTAGCTACCTAAAAGGCTTGGAGSYGAGCCAAGCCATATCACRAATTGCTCTGACATCCAAAAAAGTCCTTCACAATCTAGGACGGTTTGCATAAATTTCTTTCCAGGTAACTTTTAATACCAATAAACAATGGCTCAGTAACAAATTCCTAGCCTCCAGCAAGGCACTGCCAAGGCAGTGTTACGATCTGCTGCTGTTAATAGCAGTGCCCGTTCTTGCTATCCCATCTGTCTCCTCCCATTCCAACCACTCTGCCCCAYTGATGACAAGAGACATAGCAGCAGCTGTCTTTGGACCTGAGAACTGATCAGATCTAGAAATTATTTTTAAATGCTGTTCCAGTGCCCGATTTCATTCACAATGTAATCACACAAGGATTTGTATTACCACAACTGAGGAAGTAGCACAGTAGATTCCTACAGGCAGGAATAACATAAATCAGTGTTGCCATTACACCCGACACACCATCAGATTGAAACTGGGGAGTGCAGGAAGCAAGATGAACTTCTAGCAGTATTTAAAACCATTCTGCCAGTGAAAAATATTAGTAACATAGMAAAACAATGCAAGATTTATATCCATGTCTGACTGTAGTCAAAAGGCCTGTTTCTCTAGAAGACTGCTTTGCCACCTTCCATTTAGAAATTGCCAGGATGTCTTACTAGAAAACTAGATTTATGTATGCTGGATTAAAAATAATGGCATTATAGAGATAAAGGAGTTTGGCTCCTTGAAAATCTTTGGGAATCTATTTGCACTATCTTGCACTGGCTACTCTGTGTGCAGCAATAAGCCTTTGCTGTCATGTGATCCATGAGATAGGCTTGGTTACAATCATTCAGGAGACATAAGCACAGATGTAAAAGTAACTGTCAAAAGATCCTTTAAAGGAAGAGACCTGCCTAGCAGAGCAGCTGTTGAGACACACTCGTTATAAATTCTTCCAGAGTGTCCAAGAAAAATCCCCAGGTCACCCRCACCACACACGAACTACCAGGTTCCAAAAGAAAAGAAACTCTGTATGAACTTTTTTGCCAGYCACACTGAAGAAGAGACACCTGACTCTGGCCAGGAGATGCATAAATTTCCTAAATGATTTAATTTTTCCCTTGGCTGCTTTCCCACTTAAGACTCATGGCTGATGCCATGTTTTTCAGGAGAATATGTAACTTTGGATGAATTGTTTTAGAACTAGGAAGTAAAACCTGTTCACCTTACTTTCTYATGTTTAGGAATATATGGGATTGGAATTGAATTCTGCACTCAATGCAAACTTCAATCCAAATATTTTCAGCCATATGGAAGGGAAACTTGGGCATCTCCAATTCCCTCTGTGGAGCCACAGCAGAATTCCCACTGTCACTGGGACAGAACCAAAATTCTCTACACTACTGTGCTAGTGATAATAGCAAAGCAATGGGATCACCTGGACCCAACAGATTTCCACAGTGAGAGCGTGTGCAATTGCTCATATAATACAGACTCCTCCCCGAGGTTTTCCTCCCTCGATACCCTTGAATTTCAAAGTRCTGTTGTGTCTAAAACTTGAATCCATGTTCAGTAATGCACAAGATTCAAACTATGTATATGGCCTGCATCAATGTAATGAAGTCTTCTTGATCCAGATGGGGATTCATGAGAGTGCTATTAAGAAATGAGYATTTATAAAGTAGGAACTATAAAACTCCTGGTGTTAAGTACATAGTAGTAGTTTGAATTAATATAAAAAATAGCAAATTCATGAAAGTACAACACCATAACAAAAATGCTAAAACAAACACACTACACTTAGACAAAAGGAGCTCTCTACCAGTATTTATAGTCACGTACTATGGTCTGACATTGATGTTTCTAACATCATATCACTTTCATTCATTTCAATCTCAAATGTTTCTTCCAGTGGGCGACTGGTATCTGTACTTTTCCTTTGATTTGATGTCTCTAATGTTACTATGCCACTTTCATCCACAGTTTGTCTTTCTATGTCGAATTCTCTGAAATCCCAGGGAGGTGAAATTATGTTCTTTAATGTCTTCACTGTGTGTACATCAAAGTCATAACATCTTAATTTGTCTTTGATCTCTGTTCCTAGGAAAACAGACAAACCGTTAGTTTATTTCAAATGAATACTCCCAAAAATGTAATCTCAAAGAAACCATCATCCAGAAACTATTATAATTCTCTGCTTTCAGATCATCAGTGAGTTGTTACTGCTTAATGACTGAAGCTGAATAGAGTTGCTCTGAAAAAATCCAGCAGCCTCCTTTTTCAAAAAAGCACAATGTAAGAAATCCAGCTCGAATTCAAGTCTGTTTTGAGAAGTAATTGCCAATTCTCTTCTCAATCCCAAAGGGGCTTTTTTTCTTGTTTAAGTTACACACAGCTTGGTTTGCATTAATGCATATCACATGGCTGCATGGTTCTTCCAGATGTGTTAAATGACTGCATATGGAGCAAGACAATATTGAGAAAAACATCTGCTTCAGTTGTGTGAAAACTCTGCAGGAAAAGCACTAGAGCACACAGATGGCTTTTACTTTTAAGGTTTCAGCTGTCTTAACATGCTTGACAGGACATCAACTGTRTTCATTACAGATAAATCACTAAGTTCAATCTAGCAGAAGCAGAAATCTATAAAAAATACAGATTTTTTTTTGGCAGGAAAAAAAATTTCATAGAAAATCTGAATCTATGGCAATATAATGTATTACTGTCATTAAGCACCTTTTTTTGCACCATATATAAAGCTGTGTTTTTGGAGTYAGAAGAACTTAGCCTGTCTCAACTTCTCCACAAAGCCAAGCTTTGACAAGGTGAAAATACCTTGCTGTACAGCAACATTAGATTAGTGCTCTGATTTCCTAACTCCATAGCTGGTTTTTTTTCCCCCCATTCCCTTTGGGATCTAAGATGCCACAAATCAGTATTTTCTATAAAGTAAACCATCAACACCTTTAATAACAAACCGTTTCCTTTCTTTGTGCAGATGAGAATTTACTGTCATGATGCTCACAAAAAGCAGTGGTCATCTGCAATTGCTGGTAAGTTCTGACTCAATTTAGCCACTAAAACAACTAATCCCCCCCCAACAAAAACATRGTCTACTTGTAAGTTAATTAGGTAGTGGTAGGCAGTCTTTCTTGATATAAGAATAATACTCCTCTCAAAGGACTTATTGACTTTAAGAGACACATAAGTTAGAGAATTACCGATATAGGCTTCAGAATCACCAATGTACATTTCTATGCAGTGTCCAAGCATTGTGACTGAAAATGTGTCATCCCGCCTGAGACCAAGGGCCTATTAAAAAAAAAAAAAACAGTAAAAAGTATTTAGCAGCAAAGAAAAACATTTACATTTTAGCTGCAAAGAAAAACATTTACATTATAAGTACATCTGCAATGGTTTGGTTTGCTTGTTTGTTGTTCCACAATCTATCTGAGCATAGTCTTCACTGTAAAAGCAAAACATTGCACAACCAAAATAACACCATCACATGAACTGGCTGAAGTAGTATGCAAGCAAAGCACAAAAACAAAACCAGAAAAAAATATATATACAGACAGGGAATCATTCACATATTATGAGATATAACATGTATTGCTGCTCACTTACTGTAAAATTTCTAGGTTAGAAGTATTTTAAATTATTTCAACTACATGAGAAGCTTATGTACATAAAATGTAAATTGCAATTCAAAGTTTGCCAAAGAAGCCATTTTTTTACAKTAACAACAGAAAATATTTTAAAAAAAAACATTATTAAGATTATAAAATAAACACTTATTTGGAGACTGGGAAAATGCTGATTCTCTGTTCCAAATCCAAACCAGAGTGAAACAATAAAAAACAGCCTGTGACAAGTCCTTCAGTTGAAGCCAGTTACGTACCGTGTGAAAATAGTCAATGGCACTTTCRAAGTTGCCCATGAGGCTGTGGATGTAGCCAATGGCAGAGTAYGTAGAAGCATTCTGAGGGATTAATACTAGAGCCTGGCGATGGTATTCCAGTGCTTCTTCATACTTCCTGTTAAGGTTAAATACAGGACATCTATTAGAAGCTTCATGGTGAAAGGTGTTTTAACAAAGTATCTTGTGGGCATTTTCCTTGGCAAAGTGGAACACAATTGTCCCCAAACTTTAAAACTATCGTTTCACACTCTGAACGTAACAGAATGTACAAAAGACGCATGAATATTGACAATTTTCTTACTCTATGACTGTGTAATCATTGTTCTCCTTATGCAGCAAAAGCTGCCTACAGCTAGGTCCCATTTGGAGATCCTAGCTACTTGATATGGTAAATTGCTTTAGATATTTAATGCTGCTCATTGWAGCATTGGCTTTCTTTCTGTTGCTYTCATTTGCCTTCYCAGGGAAGAGAAGGAGCAATATGAGACTAAATCACACATTATTCAAACTGAGAAAAGCTCTCTGGGCAGAAATTTCACAASCCTTAAGTGCTACACACACTGGTACCTTTGTCAATTCCATTTTGCTACACTCTCTATCCAGAAAAGGTTTACATATATCCATGATTTCTATAAATACCAACCACCCCTTCTTTGAAAATTATCTATTAATTAGACTGATTATTATTTTATAAAACAAGGACTAAATGTACACTACGTTATTACTCTGAGAACTTAAATTATCGCATTTGACATCCTAGTTCTACGTTGTTAAAAATAAAGAKAGCAATCACCTGCTCACAAGAAATTTTAACATCTATAGTGCAATTATTCAATGAGCAACACCTGAAGTTGTTAGAGGGCATCAAATAACGAGGCAGAAAAACTATGCAACTGTTGGCTTGGTGCAGAAACCTTCCACATAATTTCAATTTTATTTTCACTCATAGTATTTACATGTCCAGTTGACTACCACTACCATATTTTAATATGCTGCTTTCAAATTACAACSACATAATAGTAGTGAGTAGACATACATCCAGTAAGTTTTTTCATAATTGCCATACCATGTATTACAAACACTACTAAATTAGTTATTACAGAGTTTTTTAAGATGTCAAAGCATGTGTACAGCTGCCTAAATTCTCAACTTGATTTTCTTCGAAGATGATTTACAAGGATGCAAAAATGTATTAGCTTTGATTTCTGAACCTGAGTAAATATTACAAATTGTACAAAGTATGATATAAGCAGTTAGTAACCTACTGTAGAAATTAAAAAAGACAAAAGTAATTATAAACAAAACAAGTATTTGAAAAAACCCTGCAATTATACTCATGAACAGATTCCAGAAGCAGTTCTTTTGTTTGATCTTGGCACAAGGAGTAACTATTATACATCCTTATTTCATAATGAAGACTAATTGGCAATTCCAGCACAAAGCAATTACTACCAAAGCCAAAGCAGAAGTACAACTTCCATCTACCATAATCACATTCTCATTAGCAGCTTTGAAACAAAAATTACAGTGTACGCCAATTGAGCAATTAAAACCACTAAAAACAAAAAAAAAGTTGCATTGATTGAACAAAAGAAAGCACTAGTTAAAGTCAGATTAAGGTATTAATGAGAAAACATCTCTATGTTAAAATTGTTAAAGGTTGTGTAGGTACTTTGCACTTTTTCTGTTCATGGAATGGAACTATGAAATGGAATATTAAATAGTTTTGTTCTAAAAACCATAAACCATAAAGAAATACTCCCTTGCTGTTTTATAATGCCACTGAATATTTTACTTCAGTTGGCACAAACCCACCTTTGTGTTGATTTAATAAGTGGACGTGTTTCAGTATGAGAGGACTGGGACAGCAGAGAATCAAAATTCACACCTACACAAGAATCTAAAAGATTACAAGATCTAAAAGATTACAACCAATTCCTATCTAATAAGAATCAGTAGTTAGAGAAAGWTTTTTACATTAGGTAATTCAACTTTTATGTAATAAATGGGATATAAGGGGTAATAAATGTAGTTATGTTCATAAACTGATTTAGAGAATCTTGTTCTTACAGGGTAATTCTACACTGCTCTCATCTGGTACATAATCTCAATATARACAAGAGAAAAAACACATTTGTGCAGCATTACAGAGAAATGTAGCTCTAATACTCTCTGCTTACTTGAGTTTTCTGCAGACATGTCCTAAGTTGTTCAATAAAGGCTCCCACTTATCAACTGTTACCTGCAAAATAATGCAACAATTCAAATAACTGCAGCTTCCTAGACTGTAACTAAATTTTGTCTACTTTAAAAAACCAAAAACAACATACAAATTAATAGGGAATTTTATTTATGAACAATAAAAATATAATGAGCCTTTTAAATTCTTAACACAACAGACCATTAAGCTCAAAATATTCAGTAACTAATTTTTCTATATTTTACATTCCCCAATGCCAATTACATTTTTTTAAAGGGTTAGTGATATTAAAACCTGATGCAAACCAAACAAAACTTGTTTTCTACTTAACTAGAACAAGTTATGTCTAGGAGCACCAAAGACACAGTTTTAAAATAACATTTATATTGTATTGCTTTTATCTTAGAATATTTTTTGTCACAAGCTATTACAGAATTTGCTGGAGTTTTACAGATTTATGACCCYGCATGTTACTAGAAAAAATACCTCATTTCCAATAGCTTTGATTTTTTCCAGTGCATCAAGGAACCACTTTTCTGCAGTTTTCCAGCTAAGGATTGAAGTGGTGGAGAGAAAAAAAGAGTAAAGAATTTTTACTAGCTGTAAGAGAAAACTATTCAAGGAAGACTTCTATGACATTATTTCATCATATGAGTGAAATTAGAGATAAACTCCAGTAATTTACATTTGGCTGTATTTTGCATTGCAGTCTTAACAGCTAACAAGACAAAACTAAAAACTAAAAACAGAACCAAACCAAGAATATTGACTAAACACTTCTTATGTAGATTAGGTTTTTTYCCAGAATATATTTAAAACTTCCTGAGCTGACAAAAAGTTTTGCTGTACAAAATTTTACAGTATATGTGCAGATAGATGCCTTTTCAGGCATTCAGCTACATGATGACAGGCACATGGAAGATAGTATCAACCTCTGGATGTTCCTCAAGCAATTAATTCTGTCCTTGTGCAACCTTAAACAACGAAGAACAACATCGAAAGCAAGGGTTTAAGATGAACACCATCTAAACTACAACCAAAAGACACTAGTTCAATATAAGTACTTCAGTAGATATATTGGCACACTTCAGAATAATCCATGTTTAAGACAGTATTTGATCATATTTTGTAAACTTACTCTCCATTTTGAAATGCTACCACTCCAACTTCATGCATAACAAAAGGATCTTCAGGTGCAATGCTTAAAGCTTGACTGAAAAACCGTTCAGCCAGCTTGGAGTTGTTGGTTAAACCATACTCCAGGCCAATGTAGAGCATCGGCAAATGACACCTAAAAACAATCAAACAAAGTGCRTGTTTGTTTCTGTGTGGTCATCAAGAATGGAGTCACAACTAYAAAGACATGCCAACTGTTTGCATATGTTTATGTACATCCAAGTAAAAGCTGATATAAATGGACTAGGACCCTAAGGGAAGTTTCAAAGACTTTACATCTCTGTTTTAACAAGAGTTTGAACTGCAATATTTAATTGTAATCTGCTCTGGAAACACATGTATTTTCTCAGCACTTTAGTTATGATGTTTTTTCCCTAATTTCCTTTATACATCTCATTTACAAATAGAATATGGAAAAAGTAGTAATTAAAAGAATTACATTTACCAGTAACTACAATCCAATACAATCATTTTATATGCAATATGACATGATTAGTGCACAACTCATTTTACAGCCTTCTCCCACAGGATGAAAGAGATGTTCAGGCTATTACTACACAGCAGTTGATGACCTGGTATGACAACCATAATGCACAAATTTCAAAAAATGTTCAGGTAGAGCTTAGATTACATATATATAAAACTTGACTTTAAAACTTATAAAATCAGAACAGTATCACAATACAGTGCATTAAATAATGCACTTAAATGCAGATGGTTAAATTATTGGGCTTTTTTTCCTCCTTTGTTCTCTACCAGATAATTGTTGCAAACACATTGCTGCTGTTTARAAGGATGTAAGTCAATATTCTACCCTACTTATGGATTAATTTTAATCTTCCTGAATATGACATTTTGTACATACCCTTTCATGAGCTGTGCAGCTGTGAAGTAGGCAGCCATTGCTTGGTCATGCTCACTCTCCACTGCAAATGAATGTCCGTATGCTATCCATGCAGGTCCATAGGTTCGCTCCAGTGTAGTAGCTTTGCTAAAAGCAAGAGCAAGTCATAAGCGAACACATCTGGATTAAATTTCATCTGCTTCAGATGACTACTTAGATAGCAATGCTATGCCACATGGTTAGGTATCTATTAAGATAATTATCTGTAATGACCAGTGGTCAAACAAAGTTCATTTTACAAGTTCAAACTATTAAGCGCTTAGAAATATTACAAATTCCTGTGAAAATTCATTTTATTATTTCTTCTATTGTTCACAGGCAGGRGGAATTATTTGATATTACTGAGCATAAACAACTATATAGTAGGTGAATTGAGTAAAATAGAGAAAACATTAGTAGTGACTCAAAATGTATTGCAAAATCCTAGCTATGTATTTTGAAATAAATAAGTTCTTTCAAATCCAAGTTTCAGAAGCAGGACATGAAATACCAAATGAACACTTAGGTTGAAATTTCACCATATAATTGTGCTAGCCTTGAAGAAGATGAATATTTGTCACATCACAGGCTGTGCATCAGAGAAGYATACAAAATGTCACTCAAGTCTTGAGCAGAAAACTGCAACCTGAGCATCAAGACTGCAACCTGAAGTCTTTACAGAAAGGTGGACTTGACAGGAACATTAGAAAGCTGTGTAGATTATTTTTTTGAATCTGAAGACAAGGGCATTCATRACTAAAGAGCTCATACCAAATTTGACCAGCCTTTTCTTAAAAGCTGCTGACATGGAGATAATACACGTTCTAACTACCCTTAAAAACRTAATTTTTTTCCTAACATATAATCTAAATTTTGTCTGTCACAGTTAAACTCRTTGTTTCTCATCACAGATCCAAGAGAATGGTTTGTTCATCTTTTGGGACAAAACTTTACATATTCAAACATTTGTATCTTGTCAACCATGACAGCAAAGAAAGATACAAGGATATTTGACTGTGTCTTCAAGTTCCTTTTCTGAAAACCACTGTGTAGCCCACAGCTGTCCCTAGCCTTGCTAGCTTTACACTATCATTCTTCTCCGAGAAATTTAAGCATCTTATTACTATTTCCCTTTCAACAGATCTCTTTTCCTTTTGCGAAAACTACACTGAATTTTGATGTTTTTTTGATTTGAGKTTTTTTRTTTTGTTTTTCTCTTCAAYACATCTATAGATCCCTTCTTGCTGGCTAGGGGTGCTTGTACATTTAAAGATATTTTTTATTTCCTCACGAAAACCAAATGTATTACTCAGGACAGCTTCTTGAAGAATTTTACACTGCTGCTTGTAAGGAATTTAAACATTTTACTCATAAGAACCAGGCATTTAAAAAGTCTAAATTACTAACCCAACTTTATATATATTTTCTATAAAGATCTCAGAAAAATTAGTCTTACAGGTTGATTTATGCCTTCTCTCTTTAAGCTTACAGCACCAAAAGAAATGGCCTACTTCACAGCAATGGTTCCCAGTGCAAATATTGACTATACATTCAGAAGACCTACAGGAAACAGCATGGACCAAGACTAAAAAGTCCATAGTTGTTTGTGCACAGAAAGAACTGGACAGCCAAATGTTAGAATTTTCTATAAAATTCTTCCCTTTCAGATATGAAACCTGAACCTGGGAGAATGCCTGAGCATCTCTTAACTAAGAACTGAGGCCTGATCCCCTACAGCTGTAGTTAGCTCAGCAGCATTAACACTGCAGGGACTACACCTGCCCAGAAGAGGAAGAKGACTGCCTAGAGAGCTACCACATAAGTCTTCCTAATTTTTAAAGTATCTCTATGAATGAGGTCTAAATTGCTATATCAAAAAAAGGGGGGCAACAAAAGGAGTATTTAAGTAGTAACCAGTTTATTGAGGCTTCTTTTTCTGAGCTTACAAACTATCAGGAACATTAAATGTTTATTTAGCAAGTGAGCAACAGATTCACTAAGGAAAACAGAAAAAAAAAATTACCTGAGATATCTTCTAGCATGTTCATTTTTGTGGCCAACCATAAGATAATAGCATCCAACTGCAAACCATGACACCTACACAATAAAATCAAAATAGAATATTATTAGATAKATCACACTCATTTTAAGTGAGCATCAAAAGAGAGGAAGACGTAATAATTCAAGAAGTTGGAAACATTTTCACTGAAGTCACAGTCAGCTCTCCCAATTATTTGGTATTACAGACAAGCTAGAACTACTGGCATGTACCTTTCTAACTGAGCTTATTCAGCCTCATGAAGAGAGAGCTGTGTGGAAAGCTTATTGCTATCCTTAATCATCTAATGGTAGGGAAYACATGACAGAGCCAGACTCTTCTCTGGGGTGCAGTGATAGCATGGGAAACAATGGATACAAGTCGCAACACAGGAAACTGAGATCAAGTTAAAGAAAAACAATTTTCACTGTGAAGGTTATCGGACAGTGGAAAGGGTTGCTCAGTGACATGTAGACATGTATTACTGTAGCATTTGTTTTAAACTGTAAATTMAAGTAAATAATTTGCACTGAATACTTTTTACAGAAACCTAATTTTATAAAAAGAACCTTGATATAAGGAAATTACAATGAAGGGAAAATAAAAAGAGTGAACCATTCTACAAGCTTTATCCAGAAACAGATTTTGAATTCTCTAGCTCAAATWATTTCATTGCATCTTTTATGTGCTTTTACCTAAAAAAGAAACGATCTGGCAATGAAGGCTTAGAACAACTTACAGGATTATTTGGGTACAAGTCCACCAACTTGTGGGAAAGATAGAAAAGCTCTACAAAGTGAGAAGAAACAAGAAAAGAAAATTAAAACATGCTCAACATTTAGATGTTTCAGATCCTTTAGCTTTCCACAAAGAAACATTATTAATCAACAAGTGAACAAAAATGTTTTCTTTTAATGGAAATGCTTCAAACTGCCTCAAAATAATTTCAGTTTCGCAATTAGCTAAAGAAAACCCAACCAAAACAACCCATAAGTCTTCACAGCACACAAATAARCAGCTGTACTTCCCACCCTTAAAGAATTCTGCAACAGCTTAGGTTATTAACATACATTAAAATAAATGCCAGTAGTATTACACTTGAATGTACCTTGTCAAGGTAAAACACTATTCAACTTCCTACATCTAAAAGGTATAACATACTGGCTAGATCCATTTCAAAGTAGAGTCCTGTGCATTAATATGCTGAAAATAGGACAAAAGCAAATAAATTATTATATTATTTGGAATAATTCCAAGTGATYAGCTTTTTAGTAAAAATATTAAGTCTAGTTACTGGAATAACTTACTACAGATTTTCTAATAATAGCAGCAGTAATCAGCTACAGGATAACAATTCTATTGCCTATGCAATTTCAAAGGAAATAGCATTATGGCACATAAAGCTTCTATTTCTTCAGAGCACAATGCTCTTAAACCAATGAGATTGTCCTGGAGCACTTTGTGTCAACTCTCAGCTCCAGAAAAATCAAATATTAAAACTGGAACACAAAATACCAACCTATGTATGTAATGTTTCTCAAGGCACATTCAGAAGAAAAATCAAGAGTACTGGCCCCATTTTCAGATGTACTTAACCGTAAAACTGGGAATCACGTTTGCTAATCACCAAGAAGTACCAGCACACTTAATGACCTATTTGTGTGCTTATAATGCACCATCCCCTGAGAGACTGCACAGCATATGAGCTCCTTATTCTATTTTCCAATTGATTTYAAAGACATTCAAGCTGCTCACTTGATTTATATGCAGTCTGAAATGAGAAAAGCTGTCCCAGCAGCAAGTATGCTATTACTATAATTCCAACAAAGGTGTTGTGTGATTGTAACTTTATTTGATCTAAAGAGARGCCTTTACAACAGCAAAGGCAAGGAGAGTCTGGGACTTTTTTTTATCACAGAATAAGCATGCCCACCAAAACATACACAACTGCTGAAGAGCTCTTTCTAGTTCAAATTATTATATTTTATTGTTGGGCAGAAAAAGTACACCTARATACTGTACAAAGATCACCTGGAAACAGAAATCATAATGATGGGAATGAGGCAGTGTAGCTCAACGGCCTCCTGGCTACAAGGTCCTGCAGTTTAAAGATACCAACACTCATGGCGATGAACTTTTTGCACAACTCCTTTGCCTAAACACTCAATCCTGCTGTCAACTCTGAAATTCCCTTCTTTACTGTTTTTTGAAACTGCACATAGGAGGAAAAATACATGTAATTTTCCAGTGGTATATAAGGGGGTACCTCGGCATTTTAAAATCTTTATTAAAATTGATGCTTTACAGCCTTCTGTTGACTTGTATTAAATKTTATGTTCCTTACCATTTGCTTTGTTAAGCTCCACAAGTGTCCCTATATGTACAGGTAAACAATTTGCATGGAAGGGATCTTTTTCCATCACTCTAAAAAAAAAATTAAAACAACATCTACAATGCACATTTCAAAACATCTTATGTGTTAAAAGCAAGCTGTTTTTATAGCATGTAATTTTCCAGTTAATGACCACTTATGGCATTAGAAAACTATTTGTGACTAAAAGTTAACTATTGACACCATAATAAAGGCTCTCTACAGACTAGGAATAYAACAGTTAATTTACCTTGAAAAAGGGGATAACAGAAAATTCTGTCAAGCTGAAGATACAATTAGAAAATCAGAATAAAATAGCTCTTTMGTTTTGCAGGTCACTTCAAATTTAACCAGCAGGCAGCAAACAACATTTCTGTTCATTTTTTTTMCATACATTTGACACCAAATGTATTTCAAGCAATAGTCTTCAACTTCCTGAGGTTAACACTAAGCTGTATGCCTTAGGAGTCATATTTAGCTCAGCTGTAAAATTTTGTTTCCTGCTGCATTCAGAAACACATCCATGTGTTCAGACTACAGTAAGCTGAGGAGCAAACCATGGTAGTGTTCTGGGCTCCTCTGACAACTGAGCAGCAGTGCACACCTGGGCTACATAACAACCGATACACTACTCCGGGCCATCAAAATTAGAAATAACATACTAGATTTTGTTGTTAATAATATCTTTTGATCATTATCAATAGCATTGTTAACTGTTAATTGGCCAGATAAATCAAACTTCCTAACTGACCAACTGATTGAAACCAGTTCATTCTGAAGGCAAACAAGAAGTAGGTAAACRGAAGGTACCAGAATGAGGAAGAGGATGCATGACGGTAAATACATCATAGTTCCGATTAAGTAGTTTTACTTTGGATTTCTGCTAACATATTATAAAAATACCACGTTTTGTCAGACTCAAACTACACATTTTAAATATCTGAGACATAAATATCACATATATATTGAAATACATATCGTTATGTATGTTTATCCATTGAAAAACAATATTTGCTGTAAGTCCAGACATAATTATTACGCTACACCATATGAGAAAAAAAAMCAGAAAGCTGCTTTGTACACTTACACTGAAGTAAGCTTGTAACACATTTTGAAGTCACAGTTGTAATAATGTCTTTCAGCTAAGGAYACTACTACATCCAGGTTTTCCTGAAGACCATCTACTGATTCAGGWATCAGTGTTTCACTGGGTTTATTATACTGAAAGACAAAAGAAACAACATTTGAAACAAAAACTAATCTAAAATCAGATGGTATAAGTATTAATAGTTTTCASCCTAAAAGAATATTTAAGAAGCATTAAAGTTCCTAAAATTTTAATTTTTAGATTGGAAGTCCATAGAATATGTATTTGGTAAAATGCTTCTTTAAAAAGTACTTAAAAGCCCATGTAGAACACAAAGCTGTTTGCCATAATCAATATCTTAATCAATATCAATGTAGGCTGCAGACATTAAATGAACAATGTATTAGTTGTGTTTTAGTGCCCTCACCTTATCTTGGGATAAAAATAGTCTGAAATGATATTGTTACAGGCTAATATTTTTGGGTAACTGACATTTTTGACATTTTGCCTACATTATTAACAGTCTTTTTCCYCACTTAGAAGCTTCTCAATAAATAAATTTGCAAAAACATAAATCAGAATTTTAAGTTGTCATCACAGCAYAAAACAACAGAAAACTGTTACACTATCCACAAAGTGAGATGTACTGCACCCATAATTTTAAAAATTACAAAGCCCATATTTACTTCAATGTTCAGAATAAATGGGATCCAAGAAAATTTACACCCCAAGACTTTCAATCAATTTTCCAGCTTTTTAGTCAATTTTTGGACTTACCTTTTTCAATTTATTTTCAAATAAAAAGTGAAGCAATTCCTGTTCTTCTTCTGTACATTGTCTATTAAGAGGTAGAGATTCAAGAAGTTCTTTTTCTATATGAATTAAAAAATATTGAASTGGTTCATATTACAGAAGAAACAGTAAGAGCCAACATTTCAAGAACTTAGAGATGGTAAAGGATTTTATGATGGTCATCCCAAAAGTAAGGAATATAACAGCACAGATACACTGAAACAGATAACACCACTAATTTTGGAAATTAAGGATTGATTAGCTTTTCCTTCTGCACTTTAAAATGCAATTTAATAAAGATAACACACCACTATATTTTTTACTCCATGTGTCAAATTTTATCACTCAGAATGCTCTATTAACCAATCCCTAAGGCAACTAAGGAAACCCCAGGAGTGTTTCATTGGTTCAAAGCCTGTGAAATTGAGAACACAGGAAAAAACTGTAAGGCTGGACAGAGCAGAGGAGGTTTGGGACCTAACAAGCAGGACTGCTGAGTTACTTTCTTTGTTTCAACTCTTAGCACTGCAGGACTGAAAAAYAGAAGTCCAATGTAAATTTGMACAAATCATAATATTCACTTATTTYRTAAGTTTTCTATTCTTAACATTTTGAAGTCTGTTACTTGCTGTACTGCCTTTACATTTATCTAGGAAAACACATATTGAGAAAGCCGGTAAATTTTACTTGTATTTGAGAAATACTTCTCTCCAGACCTTCTTGCGCTGTCAGCATATGGTGCGATGTTAAAAGATCAAATGCTTCAAAGCAGTAAACATCAAGCTTCAAGGCCTCTTTGTAGCTGTAAGTTGCCAGGGTTCTATTATCCAAAGCATCATAGATCTTCCCTCGCAAAAGGCATATAGAGCTTTTRATCTGGTGGAAAAGCAGGACTGGAGGTCAAAGACTGAATCAATGTTTGCAATTTGGTTTTGAACACAAATCAAACGTGCTCCCTGTAAAGTAGGAAGTATTTCRTGTATCACAGAACCTGGTTTACTAGTGCTGTGTTTAAATAAAAAGTTGTCTCTGTCTCAAAAAAATTCCAAAAAATGCTCTGTCACGTTACCTATTGCCAAACAAACACATGCTTGAAATAAACAACAGGAGGCGAGAGTTTATCTTCTCTATTTGTGGCATCCAGCTCTCTGATACTGAATTGTAACCTATTATACTAAATTCCCTTCATATTCAACASAGAGGAACTGTCACTTCCAAAAGCAATACACTTCTTTGCTGACCATTAAACCACAAATTTCATGCAAGACAAGAATGACCACAGTAGAGATRAAAATGGCCAAATCAATGGACTCAACTGTTCTGAACAGAAAAATATATCCTATCTTCAATCCAAAACACAGATGTTCCAGAAATGAAAGTAGTGAAAGATCATAATTACCAGTTGTGCTACAATGTTTATTAACTAACACATTCTTTCAAAATTCCCTAGATGTGTATACAACTCAGTCAGAAGGCCACAAAAGTGTCAACAAATGAGGAAGTTAACACACTACCCATCTCCACCATCAGACTAAACAGTCCTTTAACTCCCTTATACCAGCATTCAAAAATCAGCTCACATCAACAGTTTAACTCACTTTGCTACTTCAGTTGTACAGGGAAAATGCTGTCAATGACCTACACTATAATTTTTCAGCTAATACATTTTAATTTGTACCTCTGAAACTAAAGAGTCTTCACAGACTCTTCAGCCTACATGTGGTACCAATCCCTATAAATTGTGTGTCTACTTAGAATTTCTTTACTGAGCTTCAAAATCTTCACCTTCACCTCACATAATTTTCACAAATGTGATCAAAGAATATCCYACCGAGAACAATGCTTGAGTGATTATGAAATATTTAAATAAAAATAACTGGAGGAGAAAAAGAACCTGCTTTGTKAACTCAGAACCTGCAGCCCAAGTGAAAGAAATGTTAGCATACATTATCAAGACTWAGCACAGAACTAAAAGACTATAAAAAACAATGCCAGATTATGAAGCTCTAGCAAAGTGTCTGCAAGTAATTTATAAAAAGTTGTTGAAAAGCACTGTTTATCTTTGCATACAAGTTATTTTCATACAGGCCAGCTAACAAATGACTTGTGACTGAAAGAAGAACAATTCAGCATTTCTGAAAATTATGTTCTCTGAAAAAGAAAGCTTAAATGCAGTTTCAGATTCACAGAGCTGTGAAATCACTTTTTGACTTCACAATTTTTTGTCCTACAAAAATATTTTTTTAAARTAATGTTACTTACAGAGGACTGTGACATCTCCCAGTCTGTAGCAGAATCTTTTAACCCGCTTTCATCCTTCAAGTACTTTTCAAAAAGTCGTTTGTTGATTGGCTCCTCCATATCAAGAATATCCAAGGCCTGTTGATGCTCTTTTGCAGCATACTAACCAAACATATACATGTGAAAAACAAGGCTTTGAAAAATCTGYACATAAAGTACTAATAAACACAGCATCATTTCAAAGGCATAAGTTATAACAACCAGTGCCCATCACTAGGTTTTTTGTGCATTTTCTTATTTGGCCATATGTCATYTTATAATTGCAGTTCTTTTATTGGTCATCTATAATATGCAAAAATTATAAGATTATGAAACAGGTACGTTTGTAAAAATAGCTAACACAGGTTTTTAAAAAATACCACAATCTTATTCTATAAGCAGCATATTAAATACAGAAATTCAAAAGAGAATAATCTACCAATTGATTCAGTTGCACCTGTGAAAGCACTGCATTTTACTTTTTATGTATGACATTTTATACAGAAATATAAAGCTGCTAACTATAGTTATTCAACCATAAGTCACATCTCGTCTGGCCAGATTACAAGCAACCAAAGAAAAGTGTAAACATGAAGACATTGGACAGAAGTGGTTCACATTTTTCTCCCACAAAATATCAGAGGAATATTCCTTGGAAAGAAAGGTCAGTTGGATTTCTTCAGAGTAGTGCTACAACAGATACTCCAGTGACCCTACTGAAAGCTAAAGACTGAAATCAACTCTCAGAAAATTTAAACTCATTTTTTCCATAAACATAAAAATCTACACTGCCTGTCAAGTACTTAATCTTCCCAAGATGTGTCTTTTATTTAGTTTGGTTTGTTTCCAGTAGAGGTTAAAACATGTACTCACATGACATCTAGCTGCAAGGTAGCGACAAGCCTCATACAACTGAAAGAGAAATTTCATACACATTAGTTACAAAGAGAGAACATGTTCACTTACACTGTCAGACTCCATTTTTCTCTCTCCTTTTTCAGTTCTTTGGTTTCTTCACCCCTTTCACCACCAAAAGTCCTTCCTAACCAAGCCTGTAACACTATCTCTACTACTAAGTTCTCACAGGACACTTACTTCATTCCTGCCTTTACCACTCACTATCAGAATGGAAGGACAATTGAAACACCTTCATCTGAAATGACATTCCACCTTCCCATACCTCCTGCAGCTACATCCTTGGTCCCCTTCTCTTTTCTGTGACCCTGATATCTGGAGATAACACTTTGAACCTGACCAGTTGAACAGGGGGCCTTATAAACTACATCATGCAGCTTTCTTAATTACTTTTCTTATAAACATAATCCTCTGATAATGAAGAAGTCACTATGGTTAGCAGCAGAGGCTTAAAAGAGGGGTAGCAGTAGCATGTCTTTGACTAAAATGACTTACCTTATCCAACTTACGTGATCGAAGGGCATGTGCTGCCCTATGATACTGAGCTGTTAGGTAAAGACATTGGGCCAACCAATAGATATCTTGTGGCTCCTCTAAAGTRAAAGAACAAATCATATACCACTGCTTTACAATATATCTTCAAATACTTTAATACAAAATATTCACTTTTGCTTCACTAGAGAAGTATCTTCCCCCTCCTCGAGCATCCCACTGAATTACAACATTTTATTTATAAATAGGTATAAAGAACTTACAGTATCTATCACTGAGAGATTAAAATGAAAAGATAATCAGATTTTAACTTTAAAGACATCAGATTCATGGAACAGTGAATACAAAGAATGTCATACTAGAGGTGTGTCATGAGAAGGAGACAACAAAGAAACAGATTAAAAAAGCAGCAGTTGCAGGTTACCCTGCTCTTGGATACAGGGCAGAAAAAACCAAGCCATAATTGCCTCTCTCAATAAAAAGATCATTGGGAACCTAACAATAGTGAAAACACTAGACTCCCGTAGCTCAGAGTTGCAATTGCAGAAGTCCAGCTTAACATCCTCCTACCTTACTGGCCACTAAAGCCTTTGTGGGATCAAGCCCCTGGAATTACTTTAAGAAGTGCAAGTCGCCAGTGGCCGTAGGCAGACACAGGCAGCCAACACCAACAACCTCTGTAAAACTGCATTGCACTTGTCACCCAGGGCAACCGTGAGTCCTGTGGGAAACCACAATCGTCCCTAGTTGCTCTTGTTCTTTTGTTTCTTAAGGAACACAAACGTTAAGGTTTGGTCAAACATGAATTTTAACACAAAATTCAAAAAGGGAAGTAAGATGAGTTCTACCCTATTTAGGAGAGCAGGATTCCAAAGATCACAAAGAAGCACTTACACCAAACTCAAAACCTCAACATTTAGCCAAATGGTATTAAAACCCCACCAAAACAGAATACTATCAGAAAGAAGTCAATAAATGTAAAAAGTAATGACTTACCATGAGAGAGTGAAGCTACTTTGTCAGCCCAAAACAGGGCACTTTGATACTGTTGCTGAAAAAGCAGAACAGAAATAATTAGTCTTCCTTTGGGGTTAGCGCTTCTGGATAATTTTGAAATACATTGTATATCAGTCACATTTAGTATCTTATGCATGTAGTCACTAACGAATGGTGATTCACATTTCAGATCTTTGTAACTTAAAAAAATAGTGTAAGAGGGTCAGTACTATAACCTGCAAGGGATAGCCAAAAGTAATTAYAAGTGGAGTTGTTCATCTTCAATAAAATGGGGTCTCTTTGACTGAAAGGTATGTGCTGTGTAAACAGGGCAACAGGTCGTTAGTTGATTTGCATCACTGAAAAAGTAGCAAGAATTTCCTCCTCCAGTTAAAATAAATGTTACATTTTAGAAGAAAGAGAATACTAAATATAAAAAAAAAGCACATAAATTACTTCAGGTAACTTCAGCAACACCACTTCCAATTGAGAAATTTTCATTCTCCAGTCAAGGTATTTCAACCTCACATAACTATAGTGCCTGTGTGAATTTCCCCTTGTTCTTGGATACAGAGTTCAACTCTCAAGACTCCAGTTCAGCAGAAGTGAGTGAAATAGGTAAGAGTAGTGGCAACCAGAGACTAGACAGAAGCAGAGTTTGCTGCTATATTCCACTAACTCAGCTTAAATTGCCACCAGATTTGGAGTGCCAGGCAAAATCTCACAGAATGGCTGGGATTATATCCTGAGAAGATCACCAGGCATTATTGTTGTTCCTTTTTATCCCACTCCATGCATTGAGGCCTAACATGGTTGCCAGGATATGCTGGACATTTATCAAACACCYTGCCATTGCAAGGATTWGTAAGAYTTTACAAGACCAAGTAGTARCAGGACRAGGGGGAATGGAATCAAACTGAAAGAGTAAATTTAGATTTGATGTTAGGAGGAAGTTCTTTGCTGTGAGGATGGTGAGGCACTGGAATAGGTTGCCCAGAGAAGCTGTGGATGCCTCACCCTTGRAAGTGTTCAAGGCCAGGCTRGATAGGGACTGAGCAACCTGGGCTAATGGAAGGTGTCCTTGCCCATGGCAGGGGAGTTGGAACAAGATGGTCTTTATGGTTTCTTTCAACCCAAACCATTCTGTGATTCCCTGAAGATCAAAAAAGCCTTGGGCTTCTGTCCTCTCCTGCACCATTGCGGCTGTGGAGTTTGTTTAGAACCTCACACACTGTTGGGAGTGCTTTTGGAGTAGAGGTCTGRCAGTCTTTCCTGAAACTCACACGCTGATGGTATCCTAGTCCTCATAAAGCACTACACTCCATGACCTAAGCAGTCTCTTCTATCACGTGTTCCCACATTTCCTRCTTAAGATTAAGAATGCCCAGCAAATTTGACAAGAGAATAGATTGTTTTCAATCTGCACTCTCAAGGGGGGAAAAAAATCCACAAAACCCCACAAACCAACCCCCACAAATTTAACTGCTATCTACAAGAGAAGGTATTTAAATAATTCTCTCAAAATGTCAAATGAAAGTTATAATCCAGGTCTGCAAGGCACAGCATGACTTCTGTTCAGCAGTTTTASGGTACTATAAGATGACCATATTAAACAAAAAAGTAACCTCATGTTCCTCCTGATGCCCCTTCTTCTTAAGAGCACAGCTGCCTATACAGCTGTGTGGCAAAGCAGCTTGGTGAAACAGTTTAACACAAATGAGAACAGCAAACAAAACTAATCAAACCTAYCCAATTTACTTAGGTCCCTAATCAGCCTTTCAGTCAGACTTGCTGGCCACACAAAGAAATGCCTTGCGAATTTAAGGGGTGTATTTTTCTCAGTAGCAATGGCTGCACCAAGTTTGAACTGGAATGAGAGCAGAATAGTTTGATGCTATGTTTAATCTAATTTATTAATGCATTTTTCCTCCTGTGTCTTTTTTGTTCTGCATTTATTTATTTTTTGCCCTGCAGCAACATAACTGCTGAATCCATCAACATATGAAAACAACCCTGCCCTCCTAAGAGCTGTCTGCAGTGGTGCAGGAGCACGATGGGCAGCTTTAATCACCAGGTAGAGAATCACAGAATGGTCTGGGACCGTAAAGACCATCTCGTTCCAAGCTGCCATGGGCAAGGACACTTTCCATTAGACCAAGCTGCTCAAAGCCTCATTTAAACCAACCTTGAACATTTCCAGGGAAGGGTCATCAACAGCTTCTCTGGGCAACCTGTTCCAAGTGCCATCCTCACCACCCTCACAGTAAAGAATTTCTTCCTAATATCTAATCTAATCTCTCTTAGTTTGAATCTGTTCCYCCTTGTAAAGATCAAAGAAACATTAAGGTTGGAAAAGACATCCAAGATAAGCAAGTCCGACCTTTGTATCCACCTCACTCACTAAACCATATCTCCAAGTATCATGTCCACTTCCAGGAAGGGTGACTCCACCACTTCCCTGGGAAGCCGGTTCCTATGYCTAATCACCCTTTCAGCGAAGATATATTTTTTTTTCTGATGTTTCCCCTGTGCAACTGAGGCCCTTTTCCCCTGTCTTAGGTAAGCACGGCCCAGCCTGCACAATCCGAAAGGGTGGCATCCTGCAAATTGGCCTTCGCTGCAGAGCAGCCCCACAGCTCCCACAGCAGGCTCTCCTCCTCCTCCACCACACGAGGGAGAAACCAGGAGCCCCCACCAGCAGGCCCCGRCTCCACTGGAGACCGCACAGGCGGCGCTTCCGGCCCGCCGCACCCCTCTCACGGCCGCTCTCCCCCCTTCCAGGGAAMACGGGGCAGAATTACAAAATCACACCCTCTCCGCCGCTGCAAAGGTCGGCACCGCTGCCCTGCCCTGCCCCGCCCTGGCCTCCGTCCCTGCGGGAGCCACGCCGAGAGCGGCTTTTCCTCGGGGACAACTCGGGGGCCTGCCGCCCCTTCCCCAGCAGCCCCCGCCGGGCTCACCTGGTCGATGTAGTGGCGCACTCGCTTCCTGAGCCGCTCCAAGTTCATCGTCCCTCCCGCGCCGTCCTGGATGCCGGAGCCGCCGAGGGAGCACGGGCCGCCCGCCGGTGCAGCGCCCAAACCCGCCCCCCGCCTTCTCTGCCTCCCTCCCGGAAACAGCGCCCCGAGCGCGGCGTTCCGGGAGCGCTGGGGCCGCCGGGGACATCCCCCTGTGCGGGCCGCTGGCTCCACACCCCCTACATAAACATAGCATGGCACTCTTCTCTACTGTGCGTATCTCGGCAAACTTGTGCTGAGGGACTGCTTCACAGTTTCGAAGTGAAATATTGTCCGTAGAATTCGGCCCGAGGGAATGGCCTGGAGCTGAGTCAGGGAGGTTTAGGGTGGATATCAGGAAAGGGTTCTTCACCCTGAGGGTGGCTGGGCACTGGAACAGCTCCCCAGGGCAGTGGGCACTGCACCAAACCTGACAGAGTGCAAGAAGCATTTGGACAACGCCCTCAGGCGCATGGTGTGAATGTAGGGGGTGGCTGTGCCGGACCCGGAGTTGGACTTTATGATGTTTGTAGGTCCCTTCTAACTGAGCATATTCTGTGATTCTGTGATTGTCTCTGCCAGGGATCCTACACGGATATGTTGCCCTGAGAGGCTCTTTTGGCTTCTGCAGCCTTGTGGTGAAAGTGTTCCCTCAGGACTTTGCCGGGTTTGGTAGATGGTGTGTCAGATTTTCTGTGAGTCCTGCATCTCTCAGGCATTTTTGGTATCACGCAGATTAGASAATCATCCACAAGGACACTGTCAGCTTTCACTATTGAAACCCCACTAATGTGAACCGTTAAAATGCCTGATTTGAAGTAATTCACGTGCTGCCCAAAACATACTGGAGTGGGTATACCCGGGTCAATAGGAATCACCTGTGTTTGCTTCAGTGGAGCAGGAAGATTTGCGGCAGGGTTACAGAGTGGAGAAGGCCACAAWGGTGGCAGCTGGTCTCAAGCAAACWGTCTCCATTTSAGGAAAATGAATCCATGTGCCCTCTTGAATTATTTGCAGTAGCTGCACTTTGACATAAAACTTTGATTTCTGTGATTTCCTCCAGTTATTAGTTAGGTCAGCTTTTCCCCTCATGCTGTGTTGCATTTTGGGAGCCGATTCTTCTCTGGTGCCATTGAGTGTGTGTACTGCAGTTGGCAGATACGTGTTATGTGCCTGCTGTATAAGCGTACATTTATTTTGGTTTTTTTTTTTTGTTACTCAACTGCATTTTAAGGTCTGCTACTTTTTAATATTTTGGTAAGCAGCGTCTTTATCCTCGTTYATCTTTCCATTAGATCACATAATGAAAAAAACAAATCCATAGTGGTTTCTTTGGATCCAATGGTCTTATTTAGTTAGGGTTATAATCACGTTCAACTTCCCTAAAGACACCTTCTGGGTGTACAAGTAGCTGGCCATGGCAGGATGCAATTAARCTTTTGTACCTTCAGTTCTCAGAAACTTGTGGCTTGTTATGAATACTACCACTCATTCCACTCATTGCATTTGTTGATTTAAAATCTCTTTGAAATCAGTATAACAGCATATATGTATACATCAGCTTGTGGGTCTTTCTGTGTAAAATAGAAGATGTTTGAGTGAGATTTTGATAATATTTAGAAACTGCTGAGTGCTGGAGCTCATGATTTGTCCTATGTGGCATGTTTCCCTCTTAGATCAGGTGTAATAATAACTCACCAGAGACCAGTGGCTTATATTCAGYGTGAGACATCAGGGCAGCAAACTGCAGTCATTCAGAGTGAACAAATGATTTTAAAATCACGTAATCATTGAATGGTTTGGATTGGAAAAGACCTCCAAAGATCACCTAGTTCTAACCTCCCTGCCAAGGGCAGGGATATTTTCCACTAGACCTGGTTGCAAAAAATGCCCATCCAACCTGAGCTTGCATGTTTCCAGGGACAAAGCATCCACAACTTCTCTGGGCAACCCGTTCCAGTGCCTCACCATCCTCATCARAAAATATTTCTTCCTTATATCTAGTCTGAATCTACCCTCCTTTAGTTTAAATATTTCACTAGAGAAACTAAGTTTGAAACTTCATGAAATGCAGAACAAAAAAGTTAAATAAAATATGAAAATTAGGAGTTGTTGCTAACCAGTAAGATAGAAGTCTTGACTGGGGAAGAAAAAATGCACAGGAAGTGTGGGGGTTGGAACAGAAGAAGATGCTCTGGTTGGGGATGGGTGACAGTTAAGAACAGCCATGGTCACAGGGAGCTGCTCTGAAGCATGGAGAGGACTTGTCATCTGCAGGCTCTTGGAATGATCCAAGGAACACTCTATGAACGTGAAGAAACAGGTACAGAAATGCACATAGTGTTATTTCTCCGTTAGCATCTGCCTAGTTCTTACATTGTTAAAGCAGAGTACTTCATCTCGTGTTGCTCCCTAACTCATGTGCTGCTTTCTCATATTTTTCTGAAAATTTAGCTCATCCAAGTGTGCTGTTTCTAGGGCTGGAGCTCAGAGGAATGGCTGTTTATGCTATGCTGGGAGGCAACAGCTGTGCAGCTCCAGTGGCTCTGCTCAGCTCCAGTGGCTCTGCTCAGCTCCAGTCCTGTTTCTTCAATAAGAAGCTCGTCTGGCATCAGCACTCATGAAGTAGCTGACCATTCAAAGAAAACACCCTCATGGACAGACTCCTTAGTTTTGCCCCTTCACTGGGAGTTAGGTAGGCATGTGGACAAATGGACAGGGCTGACCCATTGTGCTGTGGACAGCAAGATCTCTGTGAACTGCTGGTTGAGRCTTAAAAACTACTTTAGGTGTGAAGAGGGGAAATTTTGAATTTTATGTAGTTTCAAATTATACATAAGTTTCTCTTTCAGATTCAAACCTAGCAGAGAGAAAAACTAGTCTGATGATGAAGTGGTGTTAGTATACCTGCTGCTTTGCTTAACACTACTTTTAACAGTGGTGAGGGTATGGAGAGTCAGTTAAAACATACTGAATTACAAATTTGCACTCAAGTATCTTAAATCTTGAGAGGAAGTGGAGGCCTCCACAGTCATATTAAGAATTTCTCACTTTGTGGAAGTTCCTATATTTTTATCTACTTTTAGATATCTTCTTTTTTTGTTCTAAAAATACATGTAGATGTGATATGTGCTGGTCCTATCACATAGTTCCTTCCTGCTGCCTTTAAGTTACTGTTTCTGAGTCAGTTTGATGCTTGCACATGTTTCAGAGAATCACAGAACAGTTCAGGTTGGAAGGACTTTTAAGATCATCTAGTTCCAACCTCTCTGCCGCAGGGCAGGGTCACCCTCCACCAGACTAGGTKGAGAAACCTCATCAAGCTAAAGTGAGCATGTTCACTTTAAGTTTGCATGTGAAAAAAGTCTTCTTTGATATTGGAAAAATATCCTTGTTTCTAGCTTGAGTACTGTCACTGAAGTGAGGCCCCTGAAATGGAGGTGTGTGCTGAGATGGGAGAAATTCCCTTGGAAATAGCCCAGGAGAGKGTGTTAGTCTTTCTGGGAAGGTTTCAAGAGATGGCCTCTAACTGAGCTGTTTTGTTCAGGTAAGTGGAAAAAAGTGAGTGATCTTCTACTGCCCTCATTCTGAAGTTTTTCTTCTTCATCCCTGCAACCCCAAACCCAYGTGGAGCCGTTTCCAATGTTGTGTGTAAGTAATGCAGACCTTCCAGCAGGCAACCTTTGGCATTGCCCACTTTACTGAGGCAGAATATCTGAATTGCTCCCATGGGGTGTGACTCTCTCTTAGCTGCCAGCAATATGGCTAAACTTGGAAAAAGGTATTATTCTGATTTTCAGTGCGTCTAAAAAATATCAATCGGGAAATTGACTGAAYTAAATCAATTGGGAGCATCTGTGGCATTCATGAAAGGGAAGAAGGATGGAARCCAAAGCAATTTATTTTGTCTCCTACCAGCATTCTTCAATTAGCTTACAGAATTCGTACCTTTTCAAACAGAAATTGTGTCATCTCTTCTCCTTCCAGGCTTATTAGTATGACATTTCCGTACCTGATCTTCTATTATTTGATTGCTCACCATGAACTGCCTGAGCTGTCAAGAACACAATCTGCAATTAAAGTGAGGTCTTTATTTAAATTTCCTCTCTCTTATTTTAGCTTGGCTTACACAACTGCTGTAAATCAGGCTTGCCTCTTCCAAACATCTTTTGTCTCATTAGTCACTGTCAAGGAAGTTTGACACATYTCCAGTAGCAGAGTTTGTCTCTGCAAGGTTTGTGGAAGTCAGCATCAAGATTAGAGTCCTGGACAGACTAATGCCCCTTTTCCTTCAAGAAAGGCTTCAGCTCCAGCTAAGAAGGTACCTGCTCCATGTGGCTTGCCAGCAGTCCAGTGAGGATGTGTATGGCTCAGGATTGCAACTGGAGATTGTGTCAGAAGGCTTCAAGGACAAGGGAGGACAGGGCCTAGAGTTACTATGCAGAAAAAGAAGCTGGAGCTTGGCAAATAATTTGGGGGCCACATGAGTCAGTCTGTAAAAATACAGCCTTTTTGGGTTTGCTGCCTTAGAACCCTCTGTCCTGTGGTTATTTAGATGCTGCAAACTTATTGCAGTAAAGCAAAGAATCTTGGTATTTGTTCTCTTCATCAGGTTTTTACTCATTTCAATGGTAGTGAATGAATCCCATTGATTGTATCAAAACAACCAAGATCACATTTGGCTTTGTTTATTCCAAGACATAAATTTTATAAGTGACTTCTTTCATGTTGATTTCTCTCCTTCATGCAGCATTACTCCATTTTGGCTAGCCTAGGATGAGCTTAAGGAGGTTTCATCTTTCTTGCTTGGGAATCAAAAAAAGGAAAATATGTTTCAAAGAGATGAGGAAAACACAATTTTCTTTTGCTTCTTCATGTTGSTCACAATAAAATGTAACACCTTCAGGATAAAATGTAACACTGAGAAATAAATAAATATTTGCAKCASAAAAAMMRAGTTTTATTWCAAAGSTSTGTTAACTGACTACAKTTAGGTTCCTCTATGTAAGTTTRAAGAAAKTGTATGAGTATGTGTAGAAGGAAKACTTAGCTCTAAGAGTTATTTTCTRCTTCATTAAGATTTTC